CAGGCCTCCAGCTATTTTGCTGTTCCTTCGTTTGTTGCTGGTTATTTGAACATCAATAATTCCCTTGTGTTTCAAAAAGAAATGAAATATCTTCGAGTTCTCTTGGGGTAAATGTCCGACGATGCAGCGCAGTGCTTCTCCTTTCACAACAGCAATCGCGTGCTTGTCAAAAACATTGTTGGCCTCATGAACTGTTGAAAACATCTGCCCTCAACTTGAAGAAACATTCTCACTACGGTATTGACTTCATTGACCAGACACCTTGAATCAAATCAGCATCGAACACGCGACACATTAACAATACACGATTACCCGTCGTTTGCCGTCAGTTTGCAGCTTCAAGGCTAACAAAATACCATGAGAGAAACACAAAATAGGCCTAGTGATCGTGAAGACAGTAAACATCAAACGTTTAGAGTAAGCTTTTTTGAGTAGTATTTATTTCATTTCATATCCAAGAAAGCATATGTATATATATATATATATATACATATAAACAGTTAAACATCGTGAGCTCTTTAGCCCATGGTTGGCTATCACAACTCCATATATCGTTTTAACATTCAACAATAACATGAATGGGAATGTCTCAATAACCTCTAGATAAAAATAAGAAAAACAGTGTATTAGTTTTATTAGAAAGATCTGATGATAGATTTTTATTTTATTTTATTTATTTCAACAATCTTTAATGAGGGTGGTCCATCCAGCCGAAGCTGATCATTAGGGACCCTCAATACACATAGTAAGACAAAAAAAAAAGAGCATATTAAACTAATTAAATTACAGTAAAATAAATAACAACCTCTCAATACAAAATATAAGATAAGATATGCATATTATATGGGAATCCTTTTTCCAGAAGCTTAGAGTGAATATAGATCTGCCATAGTATCATAGCATATATTTTCACATACAGTATCTTAAGGTATTGCTAACAGCACTTAAGTTTTAACTTTTTTGTCTTGTTTTCCAACAACCTTACTGCCAATTGATTTTGGTTACATGAAAAAGTAGTCAATAATTTGTCTAAAATCAATAATATTTGCAAGTGCTGTATTATATTACACCACTATTTAAAGTATTAAAAGACAGATTGGTGGTTGAAATGCTTAACCTCCAATCTAAGTTGGTTTTACTCTTTTAAACACAAATATTTAAGAAGACTTCACTACAATAAGCATAGCAGAGTTCATTTCATCATGTAAAGAATGGAATAAAATAAAAATTTGATGTAGAAATTGCTGTCTAAAGGGTAACAGTTTATAAACCCTTTATTTTTTCTTATTTGTCAATTTGGTTGTTTCAAAGCGAGCTGCTGTATAAATCCTGAACTTTTCTATTAGGCCCAATAAAAAAATTAGTTTATCACCCCCGCGCGCATGTCTTTTATGGTACTGAAGAAAAAAAAAACAATTTTAACATTTTTTTTTTGAAAAAAAGAAAGAAAAAATTTATTATTTTTAAAACTTATTTTTTTCATTTATTTTATTAAATAGTTAGTAGATATTGATTGTTTGCATTATCTAAATCATGTTTTACTTTGAATATCAATGCACCAGCAAACAACCCAAGGGTGATATTTGGCTTTAGCAAAATAAAAAAAAAGCCTCCCTCCCTCATCACTTTTCCTGCCCAGATAGGGTGATAAATTAATAATATTTTTTATAGGGCCTTATAGGTGCATAGTAACAGTTCACGCCCCAGTGTAGGAGTTTTTTGGTATTGTTCTACAACAAGATTTGTTAATTTACATGTAAAATAGAAATTGTTAAACACATCAGTGTAGGCCTACTAAACAAAAGTAAATAAAAAATGACTTTCAAAGACTTATAAGATTTACTACTTGTGTATTTTATTGGTGTCAAAGATCAAAATGTGTTAACTTAATATCAGACCCTCAACATAGAACATATTTAAATCCCATGAAATAACTATGGTATTTGACACGCCCTATTTATGTCCATGTCAGTTGTTGCCTAAAATATATGGGTGTCTTCAAGAATAATTTATTTTCATCGATCAAAAATAGAAATTGTTAAACACATCAGTGTAGGCCTACTAAACAAAAGTAAATAAAAAATGACTTTCAAAGACTTATAAGATTTACTACTTGTGTATTTTATTGGTGTCAAAGATCAAAATGTGTTAACTTAATATCAGACCCTCAACATAGAACATATTTAAATCCCATGAAATAACTATGGTATTTGACACGCCCTATTTATGTCCATGTCAATTGTTGCCTAAAATATATGGGTGTCTTCAAGAATAATTTATTTTCATCGATCAGGCATAATATCCTATTATTACATTCCCAGACAATGAATAGAAACTGCATACAATTTTCATTTTGAGATTTAAAAAAAAAAAAAAAAACAGCCTTGGAAAATGAATGAGCTAAAAAAAGTCAGAATAAAAATATCCATTAATAAAATTGTTTCAAATCAAAAATAAAAAGTTAGGTTTGCTTATCCTCCACATTCATTAATTTATGGTTAAGTTGTTAAGACTTCCTTCTTCCTGAAATTCGAATTAATCAGCATATTTATTTATATTTTATGTAAAGAAAGATTTGTATATATTTTTGTAAGAATAAAAGTTTAGTTCCAAAAAGTTTAAATAGAAAATAATCAGGTTGGAAAATGGTAACAGTGGATGCAATTCCATTTTAAGACCTTTTCTCTCAGAGATTTATATTAATAGGATTTAAGTCACAGTTGTCATGGAAACTAGTATGACTGGTGTTCAGTTTTCACAAAAAAGTAACAGGACACCGAAATCCACACCTTATGGTTTACAAGAAAAACGTCACTCCCTCTGGGATCCTCACAAGACTTCCTGGATAGACATTAATATTTGCAACTTTGCACCAATCACTGCTCCTGCACGCAGCCACAAGGAGTGACTACGTCAACAGGCACCCTGCCAGTAATCCGATTAGTTAACTGAGATTGCTGTGATGCTCTGTGACGCACGACTGCATTTTGGTGATTTGAGGTGCTCTATAGGGGTGTTGGTTTGCCCATTTTTTGGCCTACATCCTGTTTCGTAATGGAGTCCTGATTAATCATTGGAAAGTTGCCGTACAGTAAAAGAAATATGTCCTGAGGCTTCATTGAAGTTCAATTTCACATCATTTTTACCATAAATGAATTGTTTTAGTCATTGTAAAAATGACATGCACAAATTATACCCAAGACCATATGATTGCAGTGCAAGACGCCTCTGACATAGTCAAGCCATCTGTGTTTTGTATAATATCTGAAAGATTTCCAGCAAATATTGAAATCTAATTTCTATTCTTCCCCCAACTTCCTGTCGGATTAAAAACAGTCATAAAAAATAAAAAGTTGACTTGTTGAGTGTTTACACACCAAGAATCTGTCATTGCTTTTATTCATAGTGGTCATGATTTGTGGTAAAGGATTGTATGCATACAAACAGAGTTCCTGTCACTCTAAACCTCTTATTTTAAGGAATTTACCCCATTTGAAGTTGAACTTGCAAATAAAATGCATTTTTTCACTATTTGTAACACTGAGTATACAATAACACACATTACTGGCTCTTAAATTACTACAGTTCATTATATTTCTTATACTTAAGATCCTTGTCTATAAGTTCAAGTATAATAATTGGACATTGACTGAGGTCATTGACCTATTAACAGACTATTACTGGACACAAATGTCCAGTTGATGAAATCTTTAATTCATGATTTACCCAAACCTAAGCCTTGGTTTACTTCATTTGGAGGCATAAATTTAAGAAGCTTTAGGTACCAATGCAAACAAAATTACAGAGCTCTATTGATAATCCAAGGATTTTGAGGGTCCTCATAGTAATTTTTGTTTCTTTTGGGTCAGGGTCAGGGTAGTTTGAAAATGTGATTTACTATAGGAGTCATGTGACTAATGTTGATTAAAGAATGATTACTTTATGTGCATTCCCTTGAACTTAATGGGTTCATTGGTAAGAAATAGAGTAGTATAACTGTGATTCAGTGATTGGTTTAGGGAAATCAGTTAAAGCTCAATTTAATGTATTATTTAAACAAATGGTGAAAATATAAACTGTCAGAAAATTAATATTTATTATATTATTTTTATGTGATCATTTCAAGAATTTACAGACTATTTTGATTTTCTATTGTATTGTCATCTTGCTGTATATAAAGGAGTATATTCAATTGTTCCTTCCAATTTCTTCTGATTCCAATTCAGAAATCTTTCCATCATCATTACACCTGTTCTTATTATATGTGAACCCTCTCAGGGTTTACCAAAAGCCATAATTTATAAAACTCTCTTGACTCTATGACATTAATATGTCTATGTATAATAAGCAAAAGTATAACTCAATTTAAATGTGAAAAAGAAGATTAATTCTGATCCCATTTGAATTTGAACTGGTTTTCTGATTTGATTGTTGTAACTTTTCTTGCTCTGTAGGCTAACAAGTCAAGTTTAGAGAGCCAATGGGAGCAAAAGGATACAAACTGGACTGATGGTTTGTACAAGTGTCCATTCAATATACACCAGAAAAGTACTGCTGTCTTTGCAGGTAAATGTCTTATTTATTGTACAGATATAACTTTGTTCAATGTGTGTATATGTTAATTATAATTAATTTTAATTATAGACCTCAAATTGTTTGTCTTCTGTTAATCAAATTGTTTGCCTTCTATTAATATTGTTGGAATCTTTATGATAAAGCTCTATGAGCATTGTTCAGTTTGTAGTTTCATTCAGTCATATCGTATTTGTATGGGATTAAAAAAAATCTCTTATACTGTCTGTATATACTGTCATAACCTAAATGATTAACAACTATATAGGCCTACACACATCCATTTTGGAATTTTCTAGAGGTTCATTTATAAATGCATATAAAGGTATGATAATTCAATGATGGTTTGTTATTTGTAAGACTACAAGATTGATAAGACTAAAATCAATAAGGTGCCCCTAGTTGCATATCCTCGCTCTAAAAATCCATAATATTTAATTTCTGAAAGCCAGTCATCATTTAAATGACATGTAGAGGAAATGATCTTCAGAAACAGTGACATGGAAAAGAATATCCTAACAAATCTTCAAGATGTATAATGGTGGTTATTTATAATAATAATAATAATGATAATTATTATTACTTTTTTTTAATTATTATTTTTTTCAATTATTAAATGCTAACATAAATGCCAAAATTTCACTTATGACTGAAAACAACTCTGCAATTCACTCCCATACAGAAGACTAAATAATTGGTTAAATGAAAAGAAGGATTTTATGAACAAAATGTGGGTGTAATCTTATCTGACGTACGATTCAATTAATACTGCTTCCGACTTTATAGTTTTGTTTTTATTAAGAATTTTGTCTGTGAAGTATATTGATTGCTGTGAAACATCTGTTGTGTTAATGAGAGATTTTGACATTTACGTACATATTTTTAGAATGAGGATCAATTCTCAGATATAAAATTTGAATGAATTATTAAATGCCGAAGTATCAGCAATTCGTTGGTAGTCCTGCATTTAATCTGTTTAATAATTAATATTGCATGCATTTTTTTTAATATGATATACACAGAGGTGAAGGAGGAGCATATTAAATCATCTAGTAGTTGATATGGAAAGTGTATCAAGTGAAGTTGTAATATGAAATCAAGGAGTATTCACCTGCTTGTTTTTGTTATTACTTTATGATTTGTACTGTAGATCTACATATTCCAAGTTGAATACAGTAAATGCATTCATCTACGGTACTTCACATATCATCCCCATCTGTCATCAGTTTGAATTTTTAGTTTTTGGCAATAAAAATACCTACTGTACAGCTGCTTAAATTCAAAAACATGAATTTTTTTAGTGATTTTTTCAGATTTTGTAGATAACAGTAGGTGATCAACTACTTATACCAATACGTTTACTTCTGTAACGGTATCTAAAACTTGGAAATTGCTCAACTTGGAAATTGCTCCACAATCTTAAATTATCATATACCAACTGGATAATAATAATAATAATAATAATAATAATAATAATAATAATAATAATACTGTAATAATAATAATAAATTGAATATGTTTATATAATAGTAATAATTAATGAAAAATCACCCATTCAAGAAACCTATACTGTACAGTATTTGGCACTACAAAATGTCATGGAATGGATTTTAAAATGTATAATATGTATAACATTTAGAATTTTAAGGAATAATTGCTACCTCACTGTACACAGTACTCTATTTAAAGATGCTAAATATCAAAAAAATAATAAAAATATTTGTTTGAAATTAACTTTCCCATTTTGAAGTAACATAAAAAGTTGTCAACTTGAACATAGAAATTAGTGTTTAAAAAAAATGTCTACTAATCAGTTAACAGCGAAAAATGATAGAAACATTTCCAGTCACTGGAAGTGTTTTATTATTTTTATTATAATTTATTGGTTTAAAAATTAGGGTACACATTTTTTAAATTCAATATTTTCTTCACAAGTTAATAATTTTTTATGTTATTGCAAAATGAAAAGTTTTATTTCAAACTTATTTTTTATGATTTTTTTGCCATTAGCAAGGGACAATACATCTTTAACAAGGGATGTACATAATAATTTTACATTGCTGGAATAATATTTAAAACTTCAGAAGTAAATACCAGTGAAGACTGACTTCATTAGCAAAATGTCAAACTACATTAACATTATTCTTATTGTTATACTTTAATCATGCACTCTGCACTGTCATTTTGACAGACATGTAATCAGCTAAAAAGACTGATCCATTGGAACTGTCAGATCTGTTTAGTAGTTTGAAAGCATAAGAGCTTAATGCCTGTAATTTGCTTTGTTCCTTAATGAGAAGATGGTTGATTTCTAGCTCCAGGCAGTGCTTTTAGGAGTCAAAACCATCAATTTTGCTGGTGAAAGGATCATGATAATCATATGCTTGCTCATAATGTCAGGCTATATGATATTGAGTGGACAGATCAATGCTGTTTTCATATTTTTATTCCCATACAGTATGCCTCTGTCACGAAAAACTCCTCAACTGAAATTTACTGAGTATCACCATAATTTTATAATTAGGGCCCACTCCATCGAATAGGACTCACCATAATTATAAAATTAGGCCAACTCTATTGAATAGGACTCACTATGATTTTATAATTACGCCCACTCTATCGAGTAGGACCCCAATCTTGGAACTCAAAATAACTGGACAATATTGAAATCTATTATTATGGTATCTCTTTTAATTGAATGTTAATCAAGGGTTGATGAGAGAAAAGATTTGATTATAAGCTATTATTCGTCGATTGGAAGTCTGTGATTACTACGGAGGTGTTTTGACATTCTGGTGCTGGCAGTCTATGCTTCCAGGTTATGCATTTTATGAATGAGTTTGTACACACTATTGATTCCCGGTGATCAAATATCAAAGCCTTAGGGATTGCTCCAGCTCTACAAACTCATTCATCTTTATGACTCATTGATTAGGTACATTGTGGTTATGAAATAAAGAAATATAGAATGATACAGACAAAAGGATAAAGGTGGGTTTATCTAGAATTTGAAGGAATAAGTGCTGAATCTTGAAAATGATTATATAGAAATTATAAAGAAACAAAATCAATATAGAAATCATTGATGAGGCAAAATAGATTTTATAGATCTATACAAAATCTATTTTTTAATATTTGATAGTCATTAGGATTAACTGTGTCTAGATTGGATAATTTATTTTGTCTATTCCATTCACATTTTTAATCTCAATAATTGGATGGATGCATTGTCTACAATTGGGAATATATAATTTTATATATTTTTCAACAAATATATTTTAGTACTGTAGGCACCTGGATATTTCCACTGGTCTGGGAATTTTTTATCGAGACAAAGGATTCGTTATTTCTGAAATAATTTTGCTATGGAAGTTATGGGTCTTTGTCTGCAATGCTTAAAAGCACAGTCAGTTTAGATGTTAAATCTAATTATTACTCATGGTACACGCTTAAAATCAATAACACCTATCGCTGTTTCATTTATAAGACATTGCAGTTCGTAGAATCACCGTACAAATTAGGTTTAACACGTTATTCCCATGCAAGTGGTATGAAATACTGTACTCGCTTGGAGGTATGCTGGAGGAAGAGTGTTCGCCAACATGTTTTCTGTCTTGTAGAGATCTCCTTTGGTGAAAATAGTTACTAATGTACAGTAATACTAATAATAATAATAATCATCATCCTTCATAATAATAATTAGTTCGAGTTTAGTTTTGGGTCAGCCTTCATTGTTTAAATTTAATCTATCTTTTGCTATGACAGATATGTTTTTGGCTCTATTAAAGTTTTATTATAATCACAATTTATTTTGTTATTGATCTGGTATTGTGTTTAATTTTAGATGGTAGCCTGTATTCCGGGACAGTTGCTGATTTCAACGCAAGAGAATCTGTGCTGACTAGGTCTATGGGCAATACAGATATATACCCGCCTCTTATAACTAAACGTTCTGACTCCATATGGCTTAATCGTAAGTACATTACGTCAGTGAAATCTGAATAATTTCTATAAAATTGCTTGGAATATTTATCAACAGATTTATAAAATATAAATAGATTTCAAATGTACTTCAGGGAAAAAGGAAAACAACAGATGGTATAAAAATATGTTTTCTGCAAGTAATCATAAAATAAGCCAACAAGTAAAGCTAGAGAGACCAGCATCAAGGTGGCCAGCACTTAACAGCCCTAGATTAGTTTTTACTGGCACATGAACTGTTGGAGCCTATTTTACTGTAACCACAAAAACAATATTAAAACATTTTGTTTATATTACACCAATAACCGGATTATTGTTACGAATAAAAACACACCCTTCGCTAAGCCTCACAGTAATACTTGTAGTTTATCAAGGATCACCTACGTATTTCCATCCGTAATTGCTGTTAAAAAGAAACAAGAAAAAAATAGAAACCCAGCCCTAATCCCATAATCATATATTTTCCCCTTGACCATTCAGCCAGTATGATTCAAGGTCTATCTACTTATCATTTACTTTAATTGATTTCAATTATCTAATCATAATTGCAAAGGTTGATTAGTATCTATTAATAGTACAGAAGTAATTTGATTTTGATTGATTTTTTTTGCAGTCCCAGAATTCATCAAATCTTACCAAGAAGATAATGAAGTGTTTTTCTTCTTCCGTGAAATTTCAATAGAAACTCAACATACAGGAAAGGTAAATATTTAATAAGATGTTATATTTAATATTATATTTTTTATAATATTTATATAATATTTTATGTGTATTAGTACTTCCCTCTTCATACAGTACCAACCTGAATATTTGTAGTCGAAGTAGGGCGCAAGTATTTAGTAACACATGTTTGTAGTACGGCACATTATCGTTGACATTTAATAGATCATTTGTTAGCCTATGGGACAGCTAGCTGGCTACATGGAATTATGAATGAATGTAACAATATTTTAAATGTCAAAAAATGATTAATGTTTTCCTTTTAAAGAACATCAGGATTATTTCTGGAACATTAAATAAAAATAGATTTTAATATGTATTTTGCAGGTTTAGATCAATTCTGACATTTATCCAACAAAGATGTTAAGAGTTGAAATGTGGTCCATTTTCAAGGCATTGTGCTACTTGGCAACTTTCTCTTTAAAAGGTTAACCTTTTGGCAGTACAATAAGTATAGGCATCCAACTTAACCCTTACGAATCCCTAATAGACTCCCATAAATGAGAAAGTCTCGAAATTATAATACAGATTCGTATGCCTCTTCGGCCTGTTTTGTTGAATCTTCAACAACCTGGAATGAAGTTTTTGAGTGAAACCACTGCACTGTTACTTGCTCTATGACTTGAAAAGTTTGGGTCTTGTTGCTGGCTTTAAGTGCGTACTTGTGCAGTTTTCTGGTCAACACTTTGGAATGAATCATGGATAGTGGTTGATTTACATGAATTTATCAATATTATGTTTATAAATGTGTTCCTGAGTCATAGGAAGTTGTCAATATGCTTTCAGAAGTCTTAATTACTTTGTACTTGTATGTTAATTATAAAGGATCACCAATGATCTGCGTTAGACTTAGATTGACCTTGCAGCCATAAAAATAATATAAGACTACAATATTACAACATACATTTCTTCCATAGACATAATAATATGCTGTCTACTGAACAGTCAACAAGTAAACTAATATATATAATTTTATTCTCATTTAGATACCAATTTTATAACCAGTTGAGTCATAATATCAATAAATGTGTCGAAGTCTATATCATTATCGTCACAGTTATCAAAGTGGCTGTGTCCCAAGTTCATGCACAAAACTTGTCAGTGGTAGTTTCTAGTATATATAATATGAGGTCACATGCTACATAACTGCCAATAACAGAATTGAGATGTCCGGATGTTTATATTTCTATAGGCATAGAATGCTGTATGTGTGGAAATATACCATGCAAGCTCTGTGGTAATGTTACAGTAGGCCTAATAATGTATACCACTATCTTATTTTTTTGGAGTACTGTAGGCTTGGTATTTTAATGGCTTCTTGTAGGATAAGAAAAGGTAAATAGGTGAGTCAGTCATAGTAGAGTTCATTTTCTAGAATGTTTGCAGACTGGCTGTTGAACCTTGATTTTTTTTTTTTTCAGATGTACTACTCACGGATCGCTCGTGTCTGTACCAACGATAAAGGAGGGAGTACGATACTTGATTCAACATGGACAACTTTCCTAAAAGCAAGACTAGACTGTTCTTTTCACGGAGACTTTCCTTTCCACTTCAACTACCTGCGTAAGTAAACATAAGGCCCAATAAAAAAAATTATTAGTTTATCACCCTCGCGCGCATGCCTTCTATGGTACTAGAAAAAAAAAAAAATGTGAAAAAATTTTTTTTTGAAAAAAAAAAAAAAAATTGTTGAAAAAAATTATATTTTTAATTTTATTTATTTATTTTTTTCATTTATTTTATTAAATAGTTAGTAGATATTGTTTGCATTATCTAAATCATGTTTTACTTTGAATATTAATGCACCAGCAAACAAACCAAGGGTTATATTTGGCTTTAGCAAAATAAAAAAAATAAAAAAGCCTCCCTTCCTCATCACTTTTCCTGCCCAGATGGGTGATAAACTAATAATATTTTTTATAGGGCCTAAAGTATGCCTACAATTATAGGTTTGGCTTTCTACAGCTCATAAACTGTGTCTAGAAGGAAATATTAGGTTAAACTTGTTTCTTGATATTTCAATTTCACTTCAAATAATTTTAAAATAAATATCTAAAAATGTAGGCCTATATTAATAGCATCTGTGACTTGACTCCTTTGTATTATCATGCTAAGATATTATAAAATTTACGTGGAAGGAAATAATAGATTTTGTGGGATTTTTGGGTTAACTCAGGTAAGGTCATGTACCGGATAGAGAAGTTGGTGCCCGTATAATAAGGCCATAATAATAATAATCAAGTGTAGTTCAAAGTAAAAACTGTAGCCTGATTGACGTACAACCTGTCTTAACATTCAACATACCGTAAGCTGCTGATATCCGGAAGTAAGCCGGGATTTAGTACTATCCTACTTTTGTTGCACTGCAATAAACAAAGACTTTATTCTTTAATAATGAAAAAATTCAGTACACATAGTTTTTAAAAAATTTAATAAATGTAATAGTAAATGTTTTATAATGATATGATAACTTTTTCTTATCAAACAATTTAACTAAAATAAAGTCGTGTAATTTCTACTCTGTCATGGTATATGCATAATCTGCTTACTTGTGTTATACATATGTATCACACTTAAAATGCTGTAATATATTTCTTTATCTATATTTTGTAAAGTACTGTTAGTATTATTGATTAATTTGTTCATATTTTGATCTTGTTGCAGAGGATGTTGTGCGGGTTGTTGAAGGAGAAGGTGTATTCTATTATGGCATCTTCACAACTGGAGAGTAAGTAATTTTTGAGGTTATTTGAATAGTGGTCCCATGTTTTTTATGTTAGTTATGCCTCGTTAGACTTGCTGTACACCTAACTATATTAGTAGTCTTTGTGCTCCTTTGCAGCCTCAGTAACTTAGTACAGAAGAATACTATATGTTCTGACAAAAATAACATACAATATACAATAAAATACAATAAACTTTATTTCTTTACAATAGAACAATTCATGTTTTCAGAATAAATTGCAAGAAATGGAGGAAACTGAAGTATCAGTTTGAAACATAAACAATCAGTGAAAAAAATACAATATAAGAATAATCTGTGTCCCAAAAAATTAAGTCAACATGTGAGACCAAAGCAGCAGTGACTAATAACCCAAAAGTGGATAGTGTCTCTCGCTTCCTGTAACCTCTATGTTACCCCGATGCCCATTCTTTCAATCTGTAATGTTCTTATTTTACAGTCATGAAATACCTGCTTCTGCTGTATGTAGGTTCAACCTTGATGAAATCAGAGACAACTTTAATAATGGTTTATTTAAGCAGACATCAGCACCATGGCAACCTGTTCCAGCCGCAAATGTTCCAGTCATTAGACCGGGCAGTGTAAGTGTCACAATATTACATCAACATCCGGTCTGATTCAGAACTCAACAGGATTAATTTTTAAAATTTGTATGCCCTTCTAAAAATATAAAATATCTTTATTTTTTCTATTATAGTGTTCTGCTGAATCAACACAACTTTCAAATGAGGATCTAAATTTTATAAAATCGCATCCGTTGATGTATGAACCTGTTAAGAATTACGGGCAAGACGATCCGTTATTTACGCTCACTCGAAGCAACTACAGATTGAATAAATTAGTGACGACAAAGAAGGGTCCTTATACTATTGTCTTTGCTGGAACAGGTAAAACCTAATACCGTACCTAAAGCTGAACCAATGTTAATGATTTGAATGCTTTTAGAAAAACATAAAAATTAGAGGAATAATTATATAACATTTTTTATTATACAGATGATGGCCATGTTATGAAATTAGTACTGCGTGAAAATCACCCTGTTGGTGGTATGGTCTCACCTGTTCTATTGTACAACATGCATGTGATGGAGGATAAACAGCCCATCACAAACATGAGGTTATATAAGAACAACGGCCAAGAAGTTATATTTGTAACATCTAAAGATGTTATTGTTGAGTTGTCTCCTCAGTATTGTCAATATTTAAAGAATTGGTAGGTATTTATGTGTATTTTTTTTTCAAGATTCTATCTTGTTCTTATTCTAATTATAGGTAGTAATTTACTACTTAAGCATTAAAAATATCTATAAGCTATTAGATAACCTAATGAGACATGGGTCATGGGATTGCTTGTAGTTGTGTATAATCATAGTGATAGTTGTATGATTTGAACCATGAATATTTTGATTTGAAGACAGGTACCTTAACCACTAAGCTACAGTTCCATGTTTGCTGAGTAAAGTTTTATTGTTTGCTATTTATGGTTAAGTATACCTTAAAGTTCTGGATTCCCTTTGTGGCTGATGTGCATACTCAAAAATATTGACATGTATTTTAAACAAGAATGATGATGATTTAGGCCTGAAATAAGTACTCTTCATATGTTTATCACAGATTAATACTACATGCAATCATTTCAAGAACTGTCCACTAGATATCAAGTAGAAACTAACGTAAATCCCGCACAGATGGCTATGTCATATACAAATTGTAATACATCAGCGTTAAGGATTGCAAGCTAGAGTAACGTGCCACCGTGCAGAATAGTAATTAATGTACATGACCCAAGCTTTTGTCACGTTTCAGCTCCTGTAAACAAGATCCCTATTGCAGTTGGATTGAGAGCAGTAGTAAATGTATAGTATCAATATCAACAAATGAGTGAGTGCACAGTAGATGGATTTTGTTTTTGTCATAATATTATACCATTTGTTTTTTCAAATATTTTATATAGGGCCTCTGAAAACTAGAATTAGTTAATGAATAATTATTGTTAGATTTTGAATACCAGACTGTCTTTTGTATGAATTGCTATAAAGATGTATTGTTTTATTGTTTTTACTATCATTGTTTTGAATATTATTGGATCATTATTGTGAATATTTAATTATATGAAAACTTTCAGTCATTATGATAAATTGTTATATTTATATTATAATAATTATTATTTTGCTGGCTGTTGGTATATTAATGTTAGTTTTTGAATGTCAGACTTTCTTTTGTCCGAATTGCTATAAAGATTTATTACTGTTTTTTTTTTATTGTTTTGAATCCTATTAGATTATTTTAAAAACTTGCAGGCATTATAATATATTTTTTATTTAGATTATATTTGTTACTATAGTGAGGGTCTTTAGTGAGTTCCAGAATGAATAGGTCTCAAATTGATGACTAAAATAAAGAGTAGATTATTTTTGAGCCTCTGGAGCATTTAAAGTTTTGTTATGAATAGTTCATTGTTATTATTATAAAGTGATTTTAACATTTTTTTTCCATGTTTCAGGGATTACAGTGGAGTTGAGCTAGATTGTAAAGGTATGCTTGCCTATTTCATTACAAACAATTTTATTTTAAACACATTTTAATCACCAAATTTGATTTAGAAACTATGATCTAATATAATATTTAAATTAATATATTTGTAATTTGTTTTGTTCTACACTCTTTTGAATAAAGAATTCAAAAACATTCTTTATGCACAACTTTAATATTAACTTTTTTTTTGTTTTAGTTTAAAAAGCACATTTGTAATACTTAATATTCCTATTACTTTTTATTTTATCGCTGCAATTCTACTGATCTGTCTATCCATCCTCCTGATTTGTCTATTTATCCTGCTGCCTTGGATGTATAGATCCAATAACAGGTGAGTTTTGCTAGCAGATGCATTGCAACAACTGGCTACAAGTTATGTTAATTGTTAGTTGTTAGTTAGCAACCATGTCTGTTGAATATTTAATTATTGGCTTGTCCCTCGACAGCTAACACTAACACAACTTGCAGCCAGATGTGTAACATTGCTCACATTACTGCACCACATTTTTACAAGCACTTTTTAACATCGGTGTTATTGGCCATCTATTATTGTCTGTATTATTCAATATTGGTAACTGGGCTAAATTCACAAAAATATTATGGGATGGATCTCATGATCATGATCACATGATGGCAATATTATATGCATGTATTGTAAATGAATCTTTGTGACTTAAGTTGAATACCTAATCTCTTTGCATCATTCATTTTTTATCTTTTGATTAACTACAGAGTTAATTCAAAAGTTAAAATTATAAAATATAATTGTTTTCATGCCATGGTAATAGGGAGGAATCATGGACATATTTAATAAATAATATTGCAAAGATAAAACTGCTAATTTTAATCTACTCTGATTTATAAATGTTAATAGCTTATATAACAAGAAAATCTTCCTTCCAAATCCTTCTTAATTTATGCTTTGCTTGTAATTCTATATCTGTATATATTTTACTTAGAATGAGCATGCTTGCAGTGGAATATGTTAAACAGTCCTTGAAAACAAGAAAGACGTAGCAACATAAATGATATTAAGAATTGTATATAATGAGCTGAATTGAGATTTGCATATTTTTTTCTGGGCTTCTCAGAAATATGTTGCTGGATGATGTCAAACTCAATTATTGAAATTATTAAATAGTCAGCAATCTTGATTGATTGATTGATTAATTGCTTGGTTGGTTGGTTGATTGGTTAAATATTGATCATACAGTAGCACATTTATCCAATATTCAATAGTAGAAACCAAATTTTCAACAACATAAAGTATGGATAAAGAATAAAAATTGAGAAAAGGACTATATTTTGATATTCCACTTTAAAACATATATTCATTCTATATATCTTATCAATTTTTGCATGCTTTAGATATTGCTTTTGTTTGAATGGCCGTATTGTGATTTTAGTTTTTTGGTTCTTTTTCCCTTCCACCCCACAATCCTCCTGCTTATGTGTGATTGGTTCGTTGTTATGATCTGCATGTGCTTCAGATGTTGATTGGACTTTGAAAGACTGCACTGATCTTGGTTCCCCTTCCACTGGTTAGTAAAATTACACATTTGATTTCTTTCACTTTTATTTGCATTCATTTTTAATTCATACCAAAAAAAAAAATCACTTTTTTTAAATTTAAATTTTTTTTAATTTGGGAATAATCATTATGGGTTTGAGTTTTGTCATATTTACTTTTAAGATTTGTATTTTTTATTTGAATATTGAATAAATACTTATCAGTATTATTATTATACCGTCATTCCTATGCCATTAAGAGTAAGTGCCATGCTCATATTTTGTTGCTTCAGTTTGACAATTACTCCATGTGTCTGTTATTTTTTTTATGATTTACAAAAATGTAAATAATGAATTGTGTTTTGCATTATTATTTCTATGCTCAAAATTTAATGATATTCTTATTTTATTTCCCATTTTTAATTACCATATTTTGTATCAATATTTCCTTATAATAATTGTGTATGTTTCACTGATAAAACAGTTTTATTTTTCTCCAGGTTCCTTATTTTGACCACGATTACATTAACCTAAAGATCTTTTGTTTTACCTTGTCAGCATTTTATTGTTTGATTAAATATTCAGCTTATATTTCTTGTAGCATTGTCAAGCGTCGTCCTGCAAATTCCCTCGTCGACTGTACTCTAGCATTCTGTGCATATGTGGCATGCTTTGACTTGCATTATAAATATCAATGTTTTATAACTGACCAATCAGGAAGTTGCTTTCAAACTAAGTAGGGGTGAACCAGTAGATAACACATCAGAGTTATATTTTTATTATTCAAAATGTAATTAGTTGTCTTGTTTGATGTCTGTTCACAATGCCCTTAGACAACAAAATCGTATTCTGTAGAATTTCTATTTTAAAATTTAAGCTTAAGTATCATCATTGTCACCTTATTACTACAGTATTTCCATTTTGGACAAATAAAATTCTACTGCATTTTTTTAAATATTATTTTCATATTTAGTAGAATTAAAGTACTTATAATCATCCTATATTCTAGTGGTGTTTACATAAAATTATCATTAGAATTTCTACAGTGTAATCTGCTGCCCACCTGTGTATTATACAGCCCACCTGTGCATTATACACTCCACCTGCCTATTAAACTCATTCCAAGACATATTTCATGATGTGATGTGATTTTTTCCCAAATAAATTTGAAAGCAATTTTTGTTCGGTGCCAGTTCTTTGTTACAGATTTTTTGATATATGGGTATTTTGTGGTGTTTTTTTTGTGTGGCTTTTTTCTCACTGTATTAGTCTTGTTGTAGAATTTACTACCATTGTCACCACCCCCTCTGCTGCGTCTACTACCACCGTTGTTGTAACCACAACTACCACTCCAGGTATATTCATGTATTTTCATGTTGTAGAATGGATTGATATGTAATCTGTTAACTAAGCATGTATTGAAATACTTTCCTAACCATACAGAAGTTGTCAATAATATATATATATTGTAAAAGAAAGTGGCTATAATAATAGTGGATATTAATAGTGATAAATCCTGTTGAATAATAATAAATGATAAATAGATAATAATGAATTAATCTGTACAAAGCTATTGCAAAATTTCTATTGAATTGAATTTATATATGAATATATATGTAAATGTAATATATACACTCGTTTAAAAACTTAATATGTAAATGGTCAGCAAATTCTATGAAAATCTAAAAGCAAAGAGATTAATTGTTACAACTATTTTGTAAAGAAGTATCATCTGATCTAATGATGTATACTGTATTATGTTCGTAAATTTTGTATATTATTATAGATGTAATTAGTAATGTTGTATCTATTGATTGTTGTTCTTGTGCATTCTATCTAGTGATTGTGTAATCTTCTTCACAGAACCAGCGAAACTGGGTACAACCTATCGACAAACAACAAACCTTGAAACAACTCTTACCCGACAAGATAGTGGTAATGAGATGCATAAATTGGAGGCTTCTGATTGGCCCACTGAGAAACTCTTTTATACTCAAACACCAACCCACAAACCACCTGAACTGCTGGCAGGTAGGATTCTCGAACCATTGCTCACTATGGCGGCACTTTGCAACTACATAGCATCCATTGATGCATCTGTGTTCCATTCATAGTAACCAATGTGCATTGAGCTCTGTAACTGACACAGCTAATACCAGACAGGAATACTTATTGGTTGATTTTCTCTGAACAATACCTATCTAACCAATCATAGTAACTCTAAGAGTGCTCTCCGTAGCCTGTGGTGAAAAGATATCTAATCAACCTATATATCGTATTAAATCCTTCATTTATATATTATTCCTCCTATTAATAAAATGCTTGAGAGGCTAAACCTTTCAATTATCCTGCTTCTACTAAAACAATATCACCCTATATCTACATCCTGAAACACAGTATTATATTATATATAGGCCTATACATAATCTGATGCTATACTGCATCTAAGTACCAAAACCCTATATTTATCCTAGTTCTATGACAAAACTCTATATTAATCCTAGTTCTATAACAAAACCCTATGTTAATCATAGTTCTGTAACTAGCTCTTCCGTAATATAAACTTATTTAAATTCACCCAACAAAATCTTAATAATTAAAAGTTAATTTCCTATACAAAACATATAATCTTGTTGATTTTTTTTTTAGTTCATTGATACACATAGGCATGTATTGTATATAGCTAAACAGAATAATGAGTAGCAATAGCAGGTAATTGTGTGCAGGCAGTACTTAGTTATATATGTATAAGGGTCTATATTTGTTAATAGGCATATTTCTGAGGTGGCATGTCTTATAGAACAGATAATATATTCTTTCTTCCGGAACACAAATTGCTTATTTAACTTATTTCAATAAATGTTTATTTTAGATTTAACTTCTCCCTTTGAATAAACAACAATTCTCTAAATAGTAAATTATTTTGGGAAGTTCAATAATAACTTCAGTAAAAATTTGTAAACATTTCTGAAAATCTAATTATTCCACCTTAATATTTAGGAATGAATAAAATTTATTTAGGTGTAGCAGTATATATGTAGTCATAGGAAGGTAGTAATTTTAGTTTTATAGTTGTTATTTTGTAGTGTTGTGTACAGTACAATTAATGTAACATGCCACTTGTTAATTAATGCAAGTTAATAATTAATGCATGTAATTCTGCATGTTGTGATTGTGAAACAGCTTGCTCAATAAAAATAAGCAAAAAGCATGATGAAATTAAAAGGCATAAAAGTGATGAAGTAATCAGTAATTTAATATGCAAAAATATGGAAATTTTGATGTTATGATTTTATGATTGATTGATTAGTAGCATATTGATTATTGTTAAACTATTAATATTTCTGTTAATTAGATTAATTATTGCATGGGGTGATTGATCTATTTAGAGAGTGATTGATTTGTTTTAGATTATATTGAGGTATATAATATTCTAATCTGAACTCTTTCATTTCAATTTGTGTATATTCTCTTGTATATTTTCATTTCAATGTGCGTATCCTTACAATGCGTGCCTATACTTGATGTTTTTTTCTATCATTGTTCTTTATATTTGTTCTTTTTCTCTTTATATTTGTATTTTGATGATTTGCTCTCTGCAAACATATCTCTTTATTACTCCTCCTTTGTTTTCTAAAATGTTTATATTCTTTTTGTATTGATGTGTTTCTAGTTAACACAGGTAGATTTTGAGTTATAAATAAGTAATACTAATAGTACATATAACTGTGTGTCGGTTGGATTGTTTTTGACAGTGTTTGATTTGTCAAAAGTAGCTTGGTTATGATAATGTAAATATGCGCATATAAGCTGCAATCAGGGGAATTCAAGAAGAAAGGACAGAAAAACTAAACATTGTTTGGTTGTCTAACTATAAACTGTAACTTACTACTGAAAATCAAAAATTAATATTCTAAATAATTTATGATATAAATTAATATTAATTTATTTGGGCTGCCATAGTTTATAACACAACCGGTGTAATAAATTGGAATAGTATCATTGCTTGAAGAAAACAATTTTCAACCATATTAATAAAAATAAATAGCAAGCATAATATTGAGTTTATTAAACCATAGCATTTCAATGAAACTTTCAGCTAATAACTAATATGTTATAAATATTCATAAATTAGAGAATTGTTTGATTGAAATTGATAACAATTTAATTATTGTTTTTAGTTTGGTTTCATTCCCTAATGTAAATAAAATATATACTTGTTCCAAGAAATCTACTGTGAATAATTATGCTGATAATATAATACAATGATAATAGAATACTCTAAATCTACATCTTGCATCTTTTGTGATTCAGATAACAAATAAAGGGAAACGGATACATACATTTAAGCTTGACTGATGTTCTCTGCTGATAATTTGGACACTTTGTGATCTCTCTGTCCATCTCGCATTAAGATAATCTGCTTCATTTAGGCTAAGAGCAACTAAGAAAACAAATCAATTAAGTTATCTGTGATCTCAATTTACTATGTGACGCAAATAGACAGATTAAAATGCAATGCTCCCGGAAGGTAAAAATTAAACCGTTAATCAATGTTATTTATTAATTTCAGTGATAGTTAATTGAATTCACCTTAGGTCTATGATTTAATTTATGCATAATCCACTAATTAGCATATAGATAAACAATTTGTTGAATAACATGAAAAAGGTCAAAAATATTAGTATTTAATTTACACAATTTTTTTTTTTTTTACATTTTTTGAGTAACAAACATCAAAGTAATAGTATGGTAATTAGAATATAAATAAATTTGTTATATAATTCAGGTCGTATATTATTGTTCTTTTTAAAGTAGGCCTAATCTTAGTGTAATAAGTATAATAAATTTAATCCTGATTATATATCAAAATCATGAATATAGGTCTATGAAAATATTTGAAACTTTGAAATACTTCCATCATAATTTACAATAGAGATTGAGAGATATTATGTCATATGTTTTATATAGCAACATAACATTTTGAAATTTTCAGTTCCTTAAAATATAAATGAATTTAACTAGTATAATCAGTATAATATATCAAGCTATTATATAATTAATCAGATATTATTTATATAATTAACTGTTATATATTATCAGATTTGAACTAATGCTTCAACCCTGTTATTGTCTGTAAGTCTGATTGTAAATGTTTTTAATGTATAAATTTATGTACATGGGTCATACATGCAAGTTGCCGCCAATCATGTGACAATTTTTGAGAATCTCAACTGTGCAAACATCAGGAGATTAATTATATTTGAATTTTTATTATTGTAATTAAAATACAAATTCAAAAACAAGTGTTTCTCATTTGAAAGTGGGATTTTAAATGCATTTTTCATGAATCTTGTTTGAACTTTTTTTCTTCCTTTTGTGGATATCCAATCATCGTCGAGTGCTGGTTGTGGCTTAAAATCAAAGTGGTAGAATATTGATGCTCCATTTATGACAGCGTTTTCCCCCTGCAGCTCACGTTCACGTTCACAGGAATGTAATCAATGCTTGCAAGTAACATTTAAAAGTGTTGAATGTACCAACTTTTTTTCTGCTCACTTTTTTGTTAATGTTTAAAGATGGTATATTAATCAAATAAATAATAATATGAAGCTGAGTGAAAACTATATTCTTTTTCTGTAAGAAAGTGTTTGGTCCGACTGTCTGAGTTTGTATACTTGTTTCAGAAATCTGATGATGAAACAAGTGTGATCAGACTAAATTCTTGCATACATTGCTGTATCAAAATTGTCTTTTGTCAGACACAATAGACAATATTTTGACTTTGATTAAGTTGATCACTGTCTGAGCTCCTACAATGAACATGCATGCTTTGCATGATCAGATTTGTCTGGCCGACAAGTAAACACTGTAAGCAAGACTCTGAGCAGACACTGTCTTTTGTCCAGCTTCATCTGTTTCTTATTCTGTTATTTTTATGGACAATTAATTGATGAATGTTCCATAAAATTATGTATAATTTTGCTTTATGATTAGAGGCTCGGATATATAAAACGTTGTTACATTCAACAGATTAAATTCAGAATTTCTTTTTCATGACTTTGCATTTAGCATGACTTTGGAAGTCAGCATAAATGTCTCTTAACGTTAAATGTTGAAAATGTCAATTGTACGCTTGTGTCTACTATGTCAAATATTGTATAATAATCGTTTAGACGTTAGCGTTGCATACAACGTGATCTAACAGTATTATAGGTCTCTTGTGGTTTTACTGTATCTTATTTTTTCTTATCTGCTTTTTTCGGATCTGTATTACCTTTGCTTTTACATTTTCTTTGTAATTCTTTGTGAAATAATCTGTAATTTGCCTCATAATAAGCTTCTTTACAGGCCTCTAGGTCTGTGCACAGTTAATGTATGCAATACTAATTATACTTAAATGGCATTTAATGGATTGTTTTTCATATTTTGTATGCTTGAAAAATTACAATTTCTCACAAATTTTGTCAGTGAAGGCATTCATAAATTGTTGTGAAACCTTTGTTGTTTATTATGTTGTTTTGATATCTTCCATATTTGTTCATGTTTTCTTTATATTTTTGTACCGTGGGTAATGTGTTATTTTTACATTACAGCAGCCAATGTACAGTGGTAATTATGTTCCTCCCTCTCCCTCCAAAAGATATTACTGTTTGCAGGAACAGAAAAGTAGTTATTGATGAATATTGATGGCTTGGAACGGTGTGTCAACCTACTGTAAACCCGACTATCTTCATTCATATCTTTTATCTCAACCCAGCATTGATGCAGTAAACCACGTTTTCCATCCCCTCACATATCATTCCCTCATGCCAGCGGGAAGCAGCGAGTGCTTATATTACAAGATCTGCAACATTTTTAAAGTTTTTTTAATTTTTTTTAAATGGTTTGTCGTTCATTGCTTTGCATGAATTCTAAAATAATTTTGATGTTTCCCTAACATTTTATTTTGCAGGTTTATTCATATTTATGTCAACCTTTAACATTTTGCATTTTCTAAATATTTTTTTAGATGTTTTTGTTTTGTGCTTTCGTTTTTTCAAATTTATTTTTCTCCTGTTTTGTGTAGATGAGGAAGTTAAGTCAGATGCAAGTAAACAATCAACCTTCGATGAATCAACAAAGACGTTCATTGTGCTAGCAATAGTCGGCTGGGCAATTTGTCTCATAGAAATGGCAGGTCTTGTTTGCTGGTGTCTGATGCGAAAAAACAAGGGTAAATATGAAGTAACCAGTCTGACGGAACCGGATCAAAGTAGGCAGTACTCCATTATAAGTCTCTTGTTGCCTGGAACCACTACTCACAAACCTCACAATGCTTGAGTGATAGTAGCATTAGCATGTTACTGCAAACCATCCTAGCCTAAGCACCATCTAACTAATCATGTCCAGAAATGGCTACCCCTTCTTTGTTATAACCAACAGTAAATGTAATATCCTCATTAAAAAGACAGATTGAAACCAGCACCCTCACTCCAGTACTCCAAAATTGTTAATAATGAATCTGCTGCTGATCTCTACATCTTCTCCTTTCAAGCGCCTTGAGACGGTTTCAATCGTGGAAGGCGCTATATAAATATAAAACCATAAACCCATAAACCATTCTCCTTGTCAAAACCATGTTCCCTAAAAAAGTTTAATTCGCACATCAAAGGAAATTGCATATCTAAATCTGATTGTCAGTAGCAATTTTGAATTTTGATAACTCAGCTTCAATTCCGGAAGAGTGATTGTAAAAGCTTTAGCTCTATGTTATCTTACTTATAAGTATCCGGGCTTTGTCACCATCGCCATCAATTTCACTTGTCCACTGCTTTTCATACCTTGCTACACAAATCCATAGGTAAATCTCATTAATTGTCTTGCTTCAGAATATCAATTCAACAATTTTATTTCCATTTAACACCTGCTAAACTGACATGACATGAAGAGATTTTAAATATTGCAACAGAAAAAGAGACATTTCAGGGACACTGCCATTTTTGAGAATCGTTTTCATAATAGGAATTATTATTTAAAAGATTATTTGGGGAGAGGTGTTTATATAATCAGAGGGGTGCAGTTATGTAAACAATTTATTGGTTGTAACTTTGAAATAGTTGTGTACTAATGGGCCAAATTATATGCTTGTGTTGTCTCGATTGTTAGTATCATACACTTATTTATATGAAATTGCTTTTTCTCAACACTAATTTAGCACTAATGCTTTTTGCTTCACTTCGTTATCTCACCACATTCATAATTCACTTGTTTAAATGTTATATAATGTTTATCGGATATATAGAATCACTTTGATAGTCACTATGTAGAAACACATTGAATTCAAGGAAGTTAACGCTTATACTAGTATTCCTATGAGTTAATGTCAATTGTTGATGAGCCCACTTTCAATGATTGACAACAAAATTTAACTGAAAATTCATAATCAAAATCTGAGAAATTAATTTTGACTCTTCATTCATCCTTCTACATCTGTCATAAATGTCAACAATATGAACTTCTATCCTGTGATGCGATGCAAATTTATACTGTATGGCAATTATGATGTGTTAAAAGTGCATACAGTATGTTATAACAACCAGCGAATTTTTATGGAACCAAATGAGCATATGACAGTCAATTACAGGATAACAACTCATTTCATCAGGTGAAGAAGGGTTAATGATTTGTATGAGCCAACCATTAATAGACCACATGTTGATTTAACTAGAACCCTAAATCTATATCTCACTAGTTGCATTCAATGTGTTTGTTGTTGTGTGTTTGTGTCTATGATTGAAACTAACATACACTGTGTGCTAATCTCTTTTTGCATGCACAGTCATCTGTGCTCAGACTTTAGCGCCGCATGAAAAGCGAGGGGTTCAGGTGAGTTTCAATGTCCCACACATTTATTAAGCCACACCCGCCCCTTAAAATTTTCAAACATTTTGCTGTAAAGCATAATGAAACAAATTGCTTGATCTTGTTTTGTTTAGTAAATTTTTGTCAAATTTGCTTATATTTGATTAACTGTTTTGTTAATTCATATAGTAATAATCATGTTCATTTGCTAATTAATATTTGGTGATTTAATTGATTATATTCAAGATTCCTAATTGTTAGACTACCAGAATTCAATTTAACATCTCACTTTTTTGGGGAGTGATATTTCAAAATAACATTACATATTACTTAAAATATTGTTTTTTTAGATAAAGAATATCCTAAAACATTTTTCAATGAAATTTTACAGCTTACTTGAAATAAATTTTTATGTTGAATTTCTTCATTGATTTTATTTATAACAATTTATATGTCTTATCCACAATAAATATTACTAACTACCAGTTCAATTCAATTCAATTTAATTCTTTATTACTACAGAAGACATCATGGACTGTTATCCGCCAAAAAATGACAAATATGACAAAAAAAAATAACCTGTATTCTTAAACAAATTATGCATTAGGGGTCGGGGATGCTACTCCACAAATTAACAAATAATAATAATGAATAAAGGATATTTGAAATCATCTGTTTGGTTTGCTTTCACTGCTTATTGATACCACTAACCTATTGTTGTTGTTGGCCTGTTGATTGTTCAATCAGTACCACCATGCAATCACAAAGCATTCTGAGTGCCATGGCTGAAGTTAAACATTGTACTATTGCCTGACAATGCAATGTGAACGCTAACATAGTGAGTCATGTTATAAAACTAGTATTTCTGCTTTTTATGGTGTTATGGTGTGCATGTTGCTTGTTCAAATTACTGAGTCGAAAACTCGGTCTACTAAATTTCTCTTGCTTGTATTTATCTTGCTTATATTTATTTGCTTTAAGTATTTGAAATGTTGCATCCTTGTTTTTTGTAATTTGTAGTTCAGTCACATATCATCCGTGGCTAAGATGTATATCTTGGTTGTATTATAAAATTTATTCGCTTTGCCACTCTCTTACAAATTCAACTTTGATTAAAGTATTGTATGCCTCAAAAATTATTTCTGAATGCAACATTTCAATTCACTTTTTTTTTAAATCTAATTATTTTATTATTGCCAAAAATTAGGCCATGAAATTATAAAAAAAAAAAACAAAAAAAAAATTGTTGATTGTTCTACTCCATACTCAAGAAAAAAGACCTGACAAAATAGGTCCACTGAAGATGGCAAAAAAAAAAAAAAGATGATATAACAGGTATCCCATTGACAATGCTTCAACTATTGTTTTCTGCTGCCCACTATTGACCTAATTGGACCAATAGAACGCATCTGAAAAGGCGCATACGTCCAATGCTGCAAAAGCTTTAGCGTGGGAAAAATCCCTCTTTCTACTCAATTTTGTTGGGAAAAAAAAGGATGATCAACAATTTCTTTTTTCCTTTTCAAAACAAAACTAACTAAATTGATCACTTTTCATTGTTGTAATTGTGCTTGTGATATTTATCTGTTTATACATTTGATGGAAATTAATCGGTTTTCTTATACACAAGACATGACTGCTGGTTTTACTAATTATACCTTTACCTATAATATTGTTAATTTTTTGATAAATATAAATTTCAAATATATTTTAAGGTGCAAACTGACAGAATTTTATCTAAAATTGTATCCAACTTATTTTGGTACAATTTTTATTTATTATTCTCTATAGTTTACAAGAATATTTTGCATCTACTATATTTCAACAAATTTTAATTTTTCTTCAAAATTTACTTTAATTTCCTCCAATTATTATGTTTTATAAAATATATAAATTTCTATGTAGCGTATGGTTTGAAATTAAATGTTTATTGATGTTTTTCTAAATTATAAATATTGCATGTGTTTGGAAACATTAGTGTTTAGTTAACTGTGTGCTGAATTCATATTGTGTGTGAACAACCTACTAATCGGTGTGCCACTGTTCATAGTGTGTATAATCGTCATTCTAGTGAGTGTAGCAAAGATTGTTTATGAACTCTTCACACTGCTCACCCTTCCCCCCCACTCCCATTCACAAGTTCTATTTATAGTCACATTAACTTTAGTATTCACTATTGGGTTGAATTAGAAAACTAACATGGCAACAAGAGTATCGGCAATCGACGAAGGAGAATACTTGATCTGTATCTGACTGCATTCATTTTAATTGTTTTTAAATGAAATTTAAGTTCACTTTCTAAGTAATAATTAATTGGATATGATATATCTGAAAACATAAGTTACTTTGTTCATGTTAGCAATGAATGGGACACAAGTACTACGGGTTATTTTGTTTGAGATGAGTGAACCTTTAGCATTACATTTGCTTTGGATGAATACTGACTATATCTTATATTTTGATTGGTTGATTGAACGATAGATAAATATATTTTTAAAAACTTATATTATTTATTATTATTCATTATTTGTTATTGGTTATTTCTATTGATTTGAATACCTTTGGTTGTGGATAATAATGCCTTTTTGACAATGGCAAAACAATGGTATCATTCTGAACTGTCTATTCTGTGATTGGTTGTCATGTTGTACATATTTCCATTACAATCTATATGCACTAAGTGATGGTACTGTATTCATTTGGTATTTCCTCATGGTTCAGTTTTCCTATATTGCAGTATTTACCAGTAAGTACAAGTCTTGTGTCGTAAGAATTCCAATTGTCACCAAATACATTTTAAAAGAATGTTTTAACATATTTTTAAAAATAAAATTCAATAAATATAAAACAAAAACATATACTCAACAAACATCTTACTATATTTTGTTTTAGGTGTAGTAATGGTGACAACAAGCTCAATGGAGAAAATTCACCGGAATATGGAAAATGGTCACAACGAGCCACCAAAATACACATCCACGGATAACACCCTCTCTAAACCAACACCTAATGGCAAACACATCCCAAATGGAAAACACACTCCAAATGGCAAACTCACCCCAAATGGACACGACACTCCAAATGACAAACTCACCCCAAATGGCAAGCTTCCTCATATTGACTCTAAAGAAATTCATGAAATACGTAAAAGGATGAGTCAGGGCTCGTGCGGACGTGGTCGCGGTTCCACGCTTGAGAAATTGCATAAGATCGGTAATGGGCGCATAGCATGTAGTGATTATGAGGGTTTCAGCGACAGTAGCGATGGTCCATCGCCTACCCAATCAACTAATGAAGTGCCGCCAACTTACTCGCAGAGTTTTGATGAGGGCATGTCACTTGTGCTGGAGATGGAGCCTCACCTCAAAAGAATCAGCTCAGTGAATGTTTGAGGGCAGCATGTGTACAATTCAATTCAATATAATGTTCGTAATGCATCATTATTTAAAGCTTTGCTTTTAATGGCCTTTGAATGTATTGGCTACAATACAAAAAAGTGAAGATTAAAATATAACAAATGCTTACAGAAAACTTTTTAAAAAGAATGATTTCTGGGAGATACCATCATGCATAGTTGAAAAGAAGAAATTCAAGAACATGGATTGTGAAAAAACTCCTTTAATGGAAGAAACTGATAAAAGTAACTGCAGAATACGAGTACTGTTTTGGAATAAAGTATAGGAGGCTATGATTGGTTCGTCAGACAACCAATCAGAACTACAATATCCTCCAATGATGAATAAAACTAGCAGAAGCATAAGAATGGTTGAGTCACTGATGTGGATCCCACCCGGCCCCAGTAGAAGGTACTGGACGGCCCAGGAGAAGCTACAGTATATTTGACTGAGTGGGCTTTATGGCTGAATATAGCTTTAGAATGTTTTGTGAACATGTTTATATTGATGAAAATGATGTTTATGAGGTACTGTGTATTAAAAGAACATGCACTGTGTTTATGAATGATTGTAATATGCAAGGGAGTTTAGTGAGCATGTTCTTATAAAATAATGCATTTTAATGAACTTTTGTGAGATTAAATGCAAAAAAAGGCATCTGTGGTTGAGTGTGCAAAAAAAATAGGAAATTGATTTATATTATTGAAAATTTCAAATATTGTATTACTGTGTTTAGTATGTAAATATATATATATGTATATGTATATACATATTTTTGACATATATAATGTTTATATATACACATATACATATATGTTTACGTTATATACATTAATATTATATATGTGTACACATACCCTAAATATGTGTACATTGCTATTAAAATAAATTATAAATTATTTTGAAAAAAATAGGTTTTTAAATTTCTGTGCACCTTTGAACCAGATTTTGTTAAATTTAACAGTAAATTTGAATGCAATTAAATTTAATGATTAATGAAATGTTTACCACTGCCAATGTTTTTTCTTAGCAGCAATAATATAAGAATAATTTTAAGTGTTTTTTTTTCAATTGAGATATTGCATTGAAAATTAGGAGCTTAAATACAAAAAAAAAAAGATACTGTATAATGTATGCGATCTGGCAGAACCGTATATATATGCTGTATTTATTTCTGCAATTATTGTGATTTGACATGTTGTAAAAAGCAGTATTGTGCTGGACTGACACGACTTGATCACATGTAGGCAGAATTATGTTGTGCACATGTGGTGTTCATTAGAACCAGACATGGAAAATGTTGATAATGTTCTAAAATTAAGATATCTATTTAGCACTGATGGCTCTACATATTTTGTATATAATGTACTTTTTATTACTATTGAGAATGGGCTCAGCTTTTCCAGTTCTAGGAGGGTGTGTGTATGTTATATATAGATTCAAACAATTAACGTTATTAGCATGCCTGCTGATACATGTCATGTCATATCGATTTAAATACATGTGATTTTTCATGCAGTACACACATAGATTGCAATACATACATTCAATGTTATATGAGGTATGCACACATCCTTTAGATACATGCAATGTTTTGTGCTCAATTACACACATGATCAATTTCAATTCATGTGTAGTTTCATGATATACGCACATATCATTTTAAATACATGCAATGTTTTTCGTGAGACAATGCACATATCTGTTTGAATACATGCGATATTTCACAATGTATGTGCATATCAACATCATATTTTAAGCAATTCACGCAAGATTTACTTTCTTTAGATTTTTTTTTTTTCAAAATTGTGCTTCCTGCGATTTGCCTAGCAAGGGGAACGTGTTAAAATGTCTACCAGACAATTCTACTATTTATCTTTTATTCTTGTGAAGCTTTTTAGCCTTGTGTATGGACTGCCTATATGACATCGCAGGGTATTTATGAATCTACTTAAATATATTTGGACCAAAAAACAGTAGGTCTGTTTTTTGCAGGCCTACTGTCTAGGACTAGCATTACATAGTGTAAAATATAAAAATAATTTTCTTTGAATCACAATCTGAGGCTGAACCTATTATTCTCTTTGTTGTTGTATGTAATATCTCGCTTTTTATTGCAACAATATTCTATCCCTATTCATATACATATAAAAACACTCAGATTTGTTTTATTTATATATATATTTTGGTAAACATTCCACAATTAATTATATTATTTCTTCTTAGAAATATATTATTAGATTTCAATAATCATTTAGTAAACTTATGGGAGGGACATAGATTATATATTATTTTTTTCTGATATTAAATCTTGATAACTTGCACCTCTGATACAACTACTGCTTTGTATGAAAGAAAATTAATAGATATAAAAAAAAAAAATTATGAGCTTTGAAGTAAGAGTTGGTTGTGCGTGGCCGCAGTGTTAACATTTTCTGGCTGCGTTTGTGCTTATGAAATGGCTGGTGTGCCGGCTTATGTGGGTGACCCTCAGCAACTTGACATAATGTAATTTAATGATAACTACTGGTATTGGTTATTGAGGCTGTTACTTTACCTTGGTCAGTGTAGCACATAATGATTGTACATTGTAATAATCCCTGTATACTTTTGCCTTTGAAAATGTGCTGCTGATATCAATGTTGAAGACTGTATAATACTGTAATTATTATTGTGTATGTTTTTATTGTTTATGCAGTAAATGTAATTAACATTCCTCTTTATATATAATTATATATATATATAAAAACTCTTGAGAGGTCTTATATAATATATAGTATATACATTGTATTTTTTTTATTATGTAATATATGTGATATATAAATATAAATACCTGTATATATTATGTATACTATATTATATACAGACCTTTAACTTGATTGGTAGAATTTCACACTCATGTATACTGACTGGATATACTTCGCATTTTGTTGGCAATATTTGTACTCTTTTTGCAGTGTGTTGTAAACTATGCAGCTGTTTTGAAACCAAAGATGTACTTCAACCACTCAAGTTGGTAAAGTATGTCGATGGATAAAAAAAGTATAAGCAAAAAAAAGAGGCCTGAAAACATGTTCACTGCGATGCATGTATGTAATTCATCATTTACTACAGGTATTAAAGAGCGTCACAAGTGGAATAAATCCTTAGCTGCGTGTAATAAAACAATTCTGACAAATTTATTTATAGATACGGTGTTGTATCCCGCCACCATTTTTCATAATTTAGAAAAGCATATCACAGGCACGAGTATACTTGTGCACCTCCCTCCCCCCCAACCATAGCAGTGAACGTGTGTAATAGGGAGAAAAATTGTGAAAATATTTGTCATAAAATGTGATAGTGTGTGTTGGTGGTCCAAGGTACTGTAACACTTAAAATTAGCATCACTTGATTTATTAATGGTGATTATAAATAATGTAGTATAAAGATATAGCTGTACATAGTATAATTTTGTATTATTTATAACGTATGGATTGTTGTACACACCAATACCAGTGGTTATCACTGCTACACCCTAGATATAAATATTGTCTGCAATAAAATTAAAAGCTGAATTGAAGTTGTTGTGAGTACATTTTCTCGATTTTGCTAGTTAGTATGCTACTGTATATTCAAAGAATTACTACAGTTAAACTTTCCAAGGTTGACTTCGCCTAACTCAAACTTATTTTACATGCCAAATATTATCTATTATTGTATTATTTACAATTTGCCAATGGCATTGTGGATTCGATTTTGGCAAGTTCAACTGTATATTACATACGAGACATATATGGAGATACAATACAGTAAAAAACAACAGCAACGGCAAGATATAAAATGATACATTAAAACCGTCTCCATCATACTTAATGTGTGTGTGTGTGGTGTGTCCTTGAGCAAGGTGATTATCTACATTACTTCAGTGTACCCAAGTTGTATCTTTAGGTATGGGTACCAGCAAATTGCTGGGAGTAACCAGTGTCCCATTCATCTGCTTAACACTAATTGAACACTACTTGAAGCTGGGGATAAGCTCCAGCCAATGTGAGCTCCATGGCTCGGCAAGGATTTACTTATTGCCCTAATATACAATTTTTTTGAAGGTCACTTATTCAGAAAACAATCTCCTTCTTATTAGTCTTCAAACATCCAACAGTTGCACTAATTACCTGTACAGGATGAGCAGAAATATATAAAAATATTATATGAAATTTTAAAAGAAAGCAAAACCCAATACAAAAATATTTAAAAAGATTAATGAAGATTAATTTAAAAATGATAAAATTATTTAACCACTTAATGTATGTCACAGTATTATGCCTAATGTCACACGTGCTGTAGATGTTGCGTGATAATTCATGAGTTCAAAGAGAAGAAACAGTTAAGTTATATGTACACATGACAAACTAAACACAAATCAAGATATTATGTAAAGATTTCAACATATTTAATTAAATTGTAGTCATAAAATAAAATGTTCAGATACAATGTTTCTAAAATAAAAAATATTAAATGAAGAGTAGTACGGTACAAGACAGCATCAAATTTTATATGCCGCCGTCAAATCAGCTCAGCCCAGGCTTGCCTTTACAAGTTGAAATCAAATATATCATTTCCTGAGCACCTTATATTACACATCATACTACCATTGCTAACCTATATCCTGGTCTCCAGTCAGTCGGGAATTGAAAAATGTAAAACCCAACTGGGTTCAACTATATAATCAGTAATATTTACAGTAATAACTATCATTAATAGTAAACATTTATATAGCGCCAATTCAAAAATTTATCAAAGGCGCAGGAGAAAACGAACTCAGTAACATTTCTCAAAAAGGTGAAACTTTAAGTTTAAAAGAATATAAATTAGGCGAATTACGAACAGAAAAAGGAAGAGAATTCCACAGAGAAGGAGCTTGAACAGAAAAAGCATGTTGACCATATGTTTTGGTTTTGTTTCGAGGAGATGGAACTGTCAAAAGATTTTTTGAAGATGAACGAAGATGGCAGATAGGTACATGACATTTTAAGTGATGCAACAAATATAATGGTTTGTGAAACGCAAGTAACTTATATACCAAAAGAAGCAATTTGAAAATACAATTATCATTGTTAATTTGAACTCGGGTAAGTACATTGCAAGTTACTCGCTTAAATTCCCAGTTTCATACAAAGTAACACCAAGCCTCTATTCCGTTAGCTATTTCTGGCTCCTCAAGCCACAATTGCAAGTTACTTATCATTGCTCACTTAAATTCCAAGTTTCTGTTATACAAAATAACACCAAGCCTCCATTCCATTAGCTATTTCTGGAATATAATATATATATATACTCTGCCATAAGTGGCCTCAGTAATAGAAATATATGCCTAATATAATATATCCAATTCAGAATTTCAAGTCAAAACAAGCAGTCTCTAGACTTTATTAAGTTTATATAGTTATTATTTTTTTTTTCTTTTTTGGCAATAATGTTGTATCTTGTAAACAATTTAATAATAATTTAATTACACAAAATAAAATGTGATACAACAAAGTAGAACAGTTTGATAACAAGATGGCAAGAGTTGTCTCCTGATTGCCTCTGGCTCCAGTTGAATAGCAAATAATCAATCAGGATAATTGCTTACATTGGCCTATATTGAAGGGAATTGCAATTCATCAGACTTATTACTTACTTGATACTTAATGTTGATATTTGTCCTTTAATTTTGAAGAAACTTTGCCATAAGTGGCCTCAGTAATAGAAATAGTAGTAGTATTACTGACTCACTATTGAAGAAGTATATAGATCAATAGATACACTGTATAATGAATATTAATATATACTGCTATTTTATGATTGACAACACTACAAATTTTAAAATCATTTAATAGGACTATCAAATAAAATCATTTAACATGATTTTAGCATTGGTTTATTTCATAGTTTTGGATATCTACTGTTCCTCTACAATGCTCAGTTTTGTTTCTATAAACTAAGTCAGTCAAGGGGCTACGAACACCCCCTGCTTTACACCTGATATCACTTTTTTTTAGTTACCTATGTATGACCTCCAAAAAACACCTTACTCAAGCGATTTCCAGTTGCCAGTGCACAGAAATTGACATCAAAGAAAATTATAAAATCATAGAAGCTGCACAGGCAGAGTGATAGGATAAAATCAAAAACAAAACAGTTGTAATCTCCCTCAGATATTCTTTTGATACAACATTTTTCGGCCATAGCCCATCACCAGGTATCAAGAAGAGTACCTCTTTGATTTTGGTTTACAGGCATATCATAATCACTTGATGCATTTCTTGAAGCTTAGATATAAAGGTAACTAAAAAAATGACAAGAATAAAGCAAAGGGTGCACCTTTTCAGTTTCTGAGTGTTTAGGGTGGTGTTGTTTTTAATAGGATTTGCTTACATCAAACTTTCGAAATTACATTATAAAACTTTTCTAAATCAAACACACACTGGTAACAACAATAATGATGTCCACCCTCCTGTTCCCACATATCACAGATGAAGGAATCTCATCCTCATTCTCCTAAAGACAATTAAAGCAATACATTTAAAACATTCTTTATAAATTTCCATTTATTTCAATATGAACTAACAGCAAAATTAAATTTGCCCCATAAAATCATATACTGTACATGTACAAATCAAATCAAATCAAATTTATTGGAGCAAACGCTTTTAGTACAGCGGCACTCGTCCACACGACAGTGCATCCATTATTTACAAAATTAAAGTTCTAAAAAGATACTTAATTTAAGTAAACTAAATATAATTCCGAGGTAGGAATTGAACATTTTAGTTTGATTCAAGTCTTAAAATGAAATCACAAATCACAAATAATACTAATAATAAATGAATAATCATAAGTCAATCATGATGCAATAACTTTAATCTTCAACCTTATTTTCCTACCCAGAGTGGGCACAGATTCTCCAATATTACATAGTATGCTGCATTATTGCCCACTTCACTGCTATTAATGTTTCTCCATTTCACAATTTTTGTATAACAATTTAGTATGAACAAGTTGCAGAGCCACTGTCAGGCAGATACATGATTTGAATTCACAGAAAATCTCAATAGTTAAATAATTTTTAAATAAAACAAAAACACAGTAACTCCAAAAAGGAACATTTTAATGATTCAACATTTGATCTATTTGATCATTTTCCAAAACCATGAAAATAATCATTGAAAGTAATAATTTTTAGAATTAAATTTGGACAAAATATTAATAAAGCAGTAATTAATCTACAAATATTTGGTTTGATCCTTTATTTTTCATTTTGATAAAGTGTAAATTGTTACTTTACTGTGAATCAATTCCTGCATAATAGCTTTCTTAAAACATAAACAAAGCAAATTTAGTGGCTGAGGCACAAAACATTAACTTTACAATTACTTATTCAGAGCTGTAGAAAGTTAATTTTTTTTTGCTGGACCAAGGTCTAGTTTTGCTAAAATAATTGCTAGCTCTTATATATCAGCTATTGACTATTGGTCTAGTTTAAATGTATTTTTTGCTAGCCCAGCCCTAAAATACTCAAGTCCCAGACCCAGGACCACCAACTTTTTACAGCTCTGCTTATTACAGTTACTATTATTATTATTGTTGATTTGTTCGCTGATAATGCATCTTTGAAACAGACATAAATTTGTATAACAATTTAGTATCAGACTGCAGAGGCAAGGCCAGGCAGCCACATGGTTTTGATTCAAGACAATCTAAATAGTTAATCAAGTTAATAATATATCTTTGATGCAAAACTTTATTTTCAACCTTATTTTCCTAACCAGAGTGGGCACAGATTTTCCAATATTGCCTGGCATGCTGCATTATTGCCCTCTACACTTCTATTATTACCTACTGTAGTGTCTCCATTTCACAATATTTGTATAACAATTTAGTATGACCAGACTGCAGAGGCAAGGTCAGGCAGATACATGATTTTAATTCACAGAAAATCTCAATAGCTAATCTTATAGTTAATAATATATCTTCACATAATGAATATTTATATTTATGTTTACATTATAAAACTTTTTAATGTAATTTGCAGCTTCTGATATGACCACGGTCGCTCATCTGTGACCATGCTCACCTGTCTGTGACTACACTATGTTCTCTTTGTTGTGAGCCTGCATCTTTAATAAGTGGCCTTTTTGCAACTCATATGCTGCATCGCATCCAATCAAGGACACAGGATGTTTACATTTCAAACAGTCATTGAAGGATGAATGTGGAATCGAACACAATAGTTTCAGCTTGCAAGAGGGTCACTTACAGTGGATGAGGCTCCATACTACCATTGTCCATCAGCTCAGAGAATCAAGTTGCCCCTGGATCATTTCTAGCTGAAATTTTAAGATAAAAAATTACATGTAGAGGTACCGGTACATGAACTTTCTGCTAGGCCTAGGTTTTACTGTAAATCATGTACCTTAAGCAACATTAGACCTTGGATTTGCATTAATGTAAACTAGGTCCCTAGGACTTAACACCACCACATGGGAGGGCTAGTAGTTTTTGGTTTAGGGATTGAATATAAATTAAATTGTTTTCAACCAGACATGATTGATCTATGTAGCAGATTTCAGATTCATTTGTTTTCAAAAGCCATTCCCTTTCGTTAAGCAATGCATGTATATCTGAAATGTTTTATTCAAAAATATAAATATCCATGCTCAAAAAAGTCATATGTAAAACCTATGGCAAACACTGAATTAAGCCTACATCTGTGCTATGTTTTCAATGCATGTAAAATTTTATATTTTAAAAATGTATTTATCTAAACCCTGAGCTGATGTGTATTGTAGCCATGGGCAGGTGAGGAAGTGATGCAGGGAGAGGGGGAAGCTGATAAGCCACAGAACTTACAAGAACATGAATGAAAGGAGCTGTGATTGCTGCACCACAACTTGTGAAACTTTTATATGCTAGATGACTGTCCATTTTAACAAACAAAGTATCAAGCAATAAGATTTGAAAGAGTTTGAGCCTCCATAGCCTGATTTTTAGTGAGTAATGTTGACAGAAACCTAATTTCCAAATTTCATCATGGCTGGACAACACAACATTTTTATTTTGGCCTTATCACTATCATTATTATTATCATTGCTTGCCTTGTTACTACTGAGCTCAAAAACACTAACTTTGAATTAAGAATATTTTATTCCTTTGCCGCCAATTCCATTAAGATGGAAATGGTTATTTTTTTAGGTGAAAACATTTTACATTAAAACCATTATTACCAAAGAGTTAAGAGATTAAATTCAATAGTTTAAGTTTGTATTAAAATTCAAAGATTGAGTTATCTTAAGTCTTGTCATGACAATTGTAATTGAAGCAGCTTTATTATTGCATTTTGATTCATTCATTTTTTCTGCCATAAAACAAATCTAATTTTTTAGATTCAATTTCTCATTTTTTGAAATTAAAAACTAGTGCTTACCTGGTTATAGAATTCATATAACTGTTGATGATTAAATTCAATGCGAACTCTGTCATTAGCACCGTTGTCTTTACTGATTCCAAGTTCAAATATAGCATTCGGTAGCTTCATCTTAGCTTGTCTTGCTTCTGACATTTCAAGATTTAACCGCCACTTTACCTCTGAAAGCTATGAGAGGTATCAAAAAGATATACTGTTTCTTTCAAGATACACTTTATATAATGACCAATATGGATGATTTACAGTATGTGCCATAACAAAGAAGCTCGAGGACCTTGCCAAGGCTCCTTTAAGCCCTGCTATCTTAGGGGCTGGCAGATTGATAGACATTATTATTAGTTATCATAATTAATAATTATCTCACTTCAGTTTTACTGTGATGATGGATGGTTATTACATACCCAGTTATGAAATAATTAATTTACTTGATACCCTAATTAATTAAAAAAATATATATATACAGGAACAGTGCGTTGAGAATAACAACATAAATGTTATATGTTTCACCACTATTGTGGATCCTTTAGGGATGTAATTTAATTTATTATGAGGTTAGCTTAGACAGAGTATGTATAGATTATTTTATATCCCTATCAAAAATAGATTAATATTATTATTATTATTATTCATCCGTTTTCTGCCTACTGGCAGGTTCATAGCAGTCAATTTCTAAAATTTTCTCTATCATACGATTTTGTTCATGATGTCATAGCTTATTGTTATTATTATTATTATTATTATTGCATTTTTTTAAAATACAGCGCTTAGAGACAATATACCATAATGCACAAAACAAATCCCCAATCATTACTATAACAATGTATTTTACCTGGTTTGGTGGTAATGTCCGCTGTCGTAGCTTATCAACTACATTCTTCCCACCAGATGTCCAAGCTTTGACGAACACAGAAATCTGGGTAGAAAAAGAATTGATAATGATGATTCATAAAATCCCTAATTATGGATCAACTGTATATGAATAAAATATGAGAAAGGTTAGATTTGATGATCAAAATTATGAATTACCAAATAGGAACAACTCTAAAAAAACATAATTCATAAAATAAAAAAGCATTCTTTCCTAAATATGACATATAAGTGTATCAATTCCGTTATTGTTGTTGTTAGTGGCATCATCACAGTTGTCAGTAACCTCAATATGCAAAAGATGATTAAATTTTATATTATAAAATATTTATATAATATAAATATATATAATATCATTATCATACTTAATTTCTTTTAACCATATTGCTAAATTGAACTCTTGAATGTGGAGCCTGTCAGGTCATTAAACTATTAATAGATATAACATATGAAGATTTTCTTAGGCCTTATATAAATAACCATAAGTAACTTTACACAAGCTCAAACTATTCTTAAGAACAGACTAATAGTACAAGTCTATAGGGAGTCATGTCAGCAATATTTCTTTAATCCTATCTAATACCAGGTAGCTTATTATGGATTTGTGTTTCTGGTTAAAAATGGGGGCAATGATGTATTGACAACAATTGTTTAATCTCTAGATTTAAGATGGTCACGCATCAGCAGTTTCATTTTCATCCAACAGCGACTAACTCAACAATAAGACGTGACCTCACAAACAGAACATGACAAAATTCCAAACTGGTCGGCCCAGGAATTATTAGCAAGAGGACCAACAAGAATTGAGGCCAAGTGCATCCCGTAGACAAGTACTGGACTTTGTCAAAAGCCTGAACAGACCATGCCATACTATTAGCTTTCACCACATCATCATATATCATCAATATTTTTCTGTTGGACATTAATGCGAGCATGGGGAAATCTGCACAAACCTTGGGGACACAAAAAGGCATTCTCTACGCAAATAAATGAAATGAACTTTAGCAATCTTTGTAGGCATCCAGGAGTACTGGTCTAATTTCACCATCTAGATTAGAATGTATTAGGAACATTAACTTATTGTCTGCAACAGAAAAATTTAACATATCATTTAAGGTATTAAGGGATTTGCCTCTGAACCTCACCCAGGATCAATGTGACAATCAACAGGCCTGACAATAAAATACTGTTATTATACAAAATGTATGTATTTATTTTATTCTATTTTATTTATTGGGGCTGAGGGGGATAGTTAAGAAAGGGGCCAAGCTCGATTAGACTTGTCTATTTCTTGGCTCCTATTGTATACCATTTGTTTGTTTTTTTGCGTATACAATAAAGAAGAAGAATTAAAATGTGCTTTAGAATGGACATGTTTATCAGTCACATTGAAGCATTTATATGCATCCTCTTATTCTTCACATTGCAGATCCATGTCAAAGCTAATATCAACGTTCATGGTGTAGAGTAAGTATAACTCTACCTTGTCATCCTCTAGTCCTATATTACGCAGTTGTTGTGAAAGAACAGCAGGTTTTGCGAGATGGTATGCAGCCTGAAAAAAACAAAGGTAATGTGCATTACTTTATATATATAATGTACAGATGAAAATGCCATTTTTTTTATTAATATCATAACAAGATTTTACAATTTGAGTAAACATAAACAAGTTCCCTCCTGAAAAATGTTGCAATTTTTTCATGACACACATGGATACTAAAAGCATTAATTCAAAATGGGTGGAGAAGAAATGTATCCTTTATATACAGCAAACAGGGTGAATAAGGCTACAACACATCTTGGTTGACAGATTTATTGACTGGCATAGGATCACTACATAAGACTATACAATATTGTTCAATATTCAATATTTTAAAGTTTATTTTTTAAAACATTAATAGAAAAATAACGCTTAAAAAGGAACAACATTTCAACTCCATCTTGAACTTCAGAATGACTTCAAGATGTGGTAGAAACATCGCTCCTTTTTAAGCATTATTTTTTTATTAATGATTTGTCATAAAGTTTGAAATATTTAATTATGATGGCTTGTTTCTCGGCCTTTGAAGTTGGCTTCTTACAATTGGTCGACCCGATGGTACATTACCTGTTGTAAAATGAAGGCTGTAGTCTGTAGTACCAGTTGTAAGTTTGCAGGCTGTAAATCCAATGCACCTTCTAACATTTCCTCTTCTTCCTCTGTGAACGGTTTCTCATCCTGAACATGAACTGTATATATTAGCAGACAATAGCTGACAATAATATGTACACTACATTCTCACAATGAGAAAAGCAATTAAATGAATTAAGGCCTAAACGACCAATTACAACAAATTACCTTCAAATGAAGTTTCTGAAGAATTCTTGACAGTAACCGTGGAAACTTTGAAGCATCTATATCATTTATCAAAGCTACAGCCCTTTTGATACTGTGGAGGAAATAAATAGACACAATGGGTAAAACTCAACATTCAGTATACAGGTTATCAATTACACCATGGCTATTCTTCCAACATGCTCTAGTGTATTAAGATAACGAGACTGAAGTTTAAGGTTAAGGGTCAAGCAAGCTCCACTAATTAACACCTTGGAGCATTAGTGTAAATTATTTAAATTTCAAGGGGCATACTGTACATCAAAAACCAGCTTAAATTTACAAGGAAAATAGAGGTGCAGAATCATAACTACACTGCATTATACATTTATTTAAAACCCTTGTAATTGTACATGTTTTAATGTCTTAATATATTTTTCTTATACAGTTTTAAAAAATGTGACGACCTTGAGAAAGAACACCATCTTTTCTTTTTGGTCAACAAGTTTTAAATGTATATTAAATGTATACTTTTCGTGAATAAATAAAGCTTTTGATTGATTGATATATAAAGCTATAGTACTGAATATAAATGCATTGTATGATGACTAGCCTAGGCTAGGCACCACACGATGCGTGACGTCACACACTTTAATTAGTGTCATTAACCCAGTTCAGCCAAGCGTGTTTTTGTCAACAAAGGCCTTAAGAAAATATTCATACAAAATGCTTTTTGATTGGTTGAGACGTTTTCTTCTGGTCAGTCAGGTCACTCAGGGGTCGAAGTAGTATACCATTTTGGTTTTTTCCGAAATCGGTCAACATTTATCGAAGTTATCAGCTTTTGCAAATTTCATTAAAATTTATCGTTTTCTTCCAGAGTATTGTGAATAATAATGTTCAATTTGTTAATATTGAAGATTAGTTTATATATCTAAGAGTTTATTCGCCAAATATGAATGTAATACGAGGCGTAGCAATATTTTTTTTTGGCATAGCAAAATCGATGATCAGCTATGGATCAGGTATTGTGTCCACTGTCGCGAGGTAAACTATAACGATCTTAACGAAAGTGCTGGATATAAACGGCAATATTTTTTATGTAAATAAAATAAATGTGTTTAAAAAGTAAACTAAATGATAATAATAATAATAATAATAATAGTAATAATTTTGTCATATATCTATATTTATGTATAGTTTTTATTATATTATATAGTTTGCAAAATGTTATACACCATTAAATAAAGCCCGTCACAAATTGCGCCAACATTTTGTCGGACAATGCAATTACACTGAGAATGCGATAAGGCTTGCAAGCACAAGACTTTTTTATGACCTATTTTTTTTATTTATTTATTTCTTTAAATTTATTTATTTATTTTATTATTTTTTTTTTTTCAAATTTCAATTTCGGGATTGAGGGTCAAAGGTCATTTGAAAAATTAAAAAATTTTCAGGTCGTTGTGTATTAAAGCTAAGGCCAACATCATACATGACCAATGTAATTTGCAGTAAAAAATTTACAATCAAAATTTACATTTACAAAAATTAACAGGAATATATGGCAAAAGTGGCAGAAGTATTATTGTTAACATGCAACTTGCTATAAACGCGCTCAGAAACTTCAAATGTTTATAAAACCGTAACCAGTGGCTCAATTTTCCTCAAATAAAGTTTTTTTTTATGATGCTAAGAATGAGTAGGCCTAGGCCTAGTTTTTTGTGTTTTTTTTGTGTTTTTTTTTTTATTCAACTTTGTATTTATCATGTGGTGCCTAGGCCTAGCTAGCTAGTAGGGGGACTAGGCCTAGGTAGGCCTATAATCAATAAATTGACACAAAATATTTAATATGGTTCATTTTTTAATGCATTTAATTTGCTACATGTTATTTTGCTTCTTTAACTTCTATTGTAGGCCTAGACCTAGCTAGCCTAGGCTTTATTAGAAAATGGGCCTAGCCTATGCCCTAGTCTCTAGACCGGGAGTAGTAGCCTGGTAATAGTAGGCCTAGGCTAGGCCTAGAACAGAAGGCTAGGCCTAGACACCTTTTTGGGGGCCCAGGCCTATGTGCCTCTATGGCCTGGCTAGGCCCCTAGTAGGCCTCGCCTACGTTGTACAATAACTAATGAAACATCTCCATTCATACCTTTGTGTTTCGGTAAACATTAATGCCATCTTCAATTGCACTAGCTACACTTTCCTTTTCAATAAACAAGTTCATATCACAAATAATTCATATGAAGTGTAGGGCCTTGACTAGGAGGCTCAGTGTACAGCCAGTGTAGATACTAAAAGCGTCAGCACACACGTCAGCATCTAATGAAACGCGTTTCCGTTATCATAAATGGGACCGTTCCACGAACCCTGCCGCTTGATTAGTTGCTATGGTCTCACCGTCTCACAAAACAATCCTGGCCCTGTCCTCATTGGTCAGTTGGTAAGTTAATTGACACTCCAGAATGGTCCATAAAGAACTAGAACATCATCGTAATCCTTTTATGTTGGTTCCCTGGTAAAATACTGGTGAAAACATGAGAAGTTGTGCTCTTATGATCATCATATTTGATTATCACCATAATGGAAAATGTGCGTGCTGTGCATGGGCCCTAACAATAGCATACAGGCCTACTGATTGGTCAGATACCGTATAAAGTTTGATTGACACACCCGAAAAATTAAATTTGATATGTTGATGAATATGATGAACTATGTTCATCCATTATAATGAGCATCATGCAAATAGCAGGGGTGGCGCCAGCAGGGCCCCCGTCGGGGAGAGCTGCCCCTCCCCACCCCGTCGGGGAGAAAAAGCACAGTTCGTCGGGGAGAAAAAATATTATATGTATTTTTTTACATATTCGTAGACTCTAAAATCGATTAAATAAGCCTTTGAAACCCCTAAGTTGTCAAAATTTACCACTTTCGAAGCCTTTTAATCGAAGCTCGACCACACCCCCACTTTGCTTTTCGGGGAAATCTGACCTTTCATTGGGGGCGTCGGCCCTCCGTCGGGGACCTTGGCCCACCGTCGGGCAAATCCTGGCGCCAACTCTGTAAAAATGTGTAGTCAAAGTGCAAATTTAAAGAGTATATATATCACAACAATATAAATATATTTAAATTAATTGTACACTGTATTACAAAACAAATAATTTACAAGCGCCAAAGCACAATTTTTTACAGGCGCCACCCCTGTAAAAATGTGTTGTCGAAGTGCAAATTTAAAGAGTATATATATCACAACAATATAAATATATTTAAATTAATTTTACACTGTATTACAAAACAAATAAAAACTATTTATCTTCGTGTATATGTTTAATTATGACAAATTAACAAATTATACCGGCCAAGTATTATTTCATGTAGACCTATCGTATTCCCGTATACTATACTGTATGATAGTGTACTTGAACTTGAACAAATGCCATTTATGTTTGCCTTTCGTTGCTATTCCATAATCCTCCCATTTCTCATCTAGGCCTTGTGTCCAAAATGTTCGTTCAATGATCGAAAATGTAGTGCGTTACAGAAAATAATTATAACTCATTGCACAATATTTGCTGCGGTCCGAGGTTTCTACAACTTGTACCTGTGACCATCCGCTTATATACTGCCCTCACTACATTTATTTTTATTTACCCCAAATCTTTCGTCTGGTAGATCCAGGTCAGTGGGCCGGGTCGGGTTGTTTAATTTACTTGCATATTTTTTAAACGTTTTAAGTGATTTAGTTTGAAGTGATACTTGAGTGAATTTTTTATACTGAACTGCATATCCTTTTTATTTTTGTTTTTGTAACTTCCTGGATGCACTAACGGATTCAAGATTCAAAATATTTTATTGCAAATTGAAGGAAAATTTGAAATGTACAGAATAATTTAAAGTAATAATATTAAAAATGTTTAAAATATTAAAAATACTCCATTTAAGTTAGTTGAAAGTGAGACAACTATATATAGGGCCTAGGCCTAGTTGTTTCAGGTTGAAATAAGAAAACAAGAGGAGACATTACAACTTCAAAATACAAAGGGGAATGTACGAAACTTGAAAAACAAAAACAATCACAAAAGAGCATAAATAAGGGAGACATACAAATGAGCAATTATACCGAGTATAATACTGAACACGGACTAAATCCTACAGGATTTGTTTTTTTCCGTTTTCAACAGTGATGTTGAGTGCAACTGTAGGCCTATCAATAAAGTTGAGAGCAACTGGCAATGGTGTCAGTCTTTTTCGATGGCTGGGCTGTAACCGCGTTAACTTTCTTTTGGCGTCTTTCTAGTCAGTGTTTGTACCATAATTTCTTAAAAACAAGTCCCCATTATTTCAAACAACACCAATCTTTGATTTTGCAGGCATAATCGGTCGTCAGCACAAGAATACGATTATTCATCGGCCTCATACAATTATTCCTGTTGAATTTAATAATAAAATATTGACACATCATCTGTAGTTTGCGTGTATTTTTTACAGTTTACAAAGGTGTAAACGCCAATGTGTCTAATGCAATCACGTCATTAACAGTTTCTTGACATAGGTAAGTTCCTTGAAAATGACCCGGAATGTTTTTAGGTTTTACTTTGCAAATGTACGAACCTTGATTAAATGGCAATTAATACATATTGGAAATAATTGTTGAAACGAAATATGCGTCGACAGCTGACGTCTGTGATGACATAGCCATTAGAGAATCCAAACAAAGACCAATAGACCTCTAGAATTCATGTTTAAAGACAACTACATGAGAGACCTATAAGCCACTAGAACCATAATATGAGAGACCATTGGCAACTTACATAGTGTACTTGTCGTTGCATACATAAGCCGATATTATGATGATTAATAATAGGCCTATATAGTAATGAAGTAATGAAATAGATTTATTCTACAAGCTTTCGCAAATTTAAACCGCCACTTGGCCATTTCATGGTGATCATAATGTGATTTGCCAAAGGTTATTTCATCGCGAGAAAAACATTTTATTTTTAATATTGTAGCAGCTAGGCCCGAGACTCTTGGGCGATCAGCGGAAAGTTGTGGATGTTTATAAATTGAATAAGCAATTGACTCCATGCTAATCAGTCTAAAACGATCTTAAGTGTTGATAATGCTCTTTTTCCCACGATTAACCAGCATTAGCCTATAAAGAGTATTTTTTTAAAGAAATAATATCGCTTGGAATTATTGCGAAGACAAGCCTAATAAGATGCAGAAAACATAAGATGCTGACAAAGAGCATGGCGGTACCCCAATTTTTCGACCGCAATGTATTTTAATTTTTTTACCCACATGGTGGAGGCTGAGGTAGTTTTGGACTCACGACTATCTCCCAACTTTCAATACAAATATGCGCCCTTGCAAAAGAGATGTTAGATAGATAATCTAATTCTCTATGGAACCACTTCAAGTATGCCTATTTCATTAAAAACAAAATCAATATTTATTTTTTCGAAATTATTTGTACAATAGCCAGGGGCGGATCCAGAGATGTCCAAAAAGGGGGCATAAAGTTGGGCCGATCGAGACAACACTGTCCTAGGGGTCGGGGGTGCATTCCCACGCGAAATGTTTGTGTTCTAGACGCCCGAAAATAACATTTGAGGCGTTCTGGGCTATCATTTTTTTCTTTTTCTTTTTTTTTACCTCCCAAAAGGGGAGGGGGCAGGGCCGGGCCGCCCTACCCCTAAATCTGCCCCGGTAGTTCTGCATTTAGCACATGCCTCCGCGGTGTTCGAAAAGCGCAGTTTATTTTCACAATAATGTCTCCAAGTAGACCAAGCGATTTTGGAACACATAATCAGCTTCATCTTTGGAATATAACAGCATATCATAAATAATTACGGAAACATATAGCTACTACATACTCACGGATGCACAAATTTAGTAATGTTTTGTTTTAACTGCCATTTATTTACTTGTACCGGGTAGTTTATATAATAATAGAATAGAAAAATAGAAATGTTTCCATTGCATTGTGCAAGTGTTTTAGATTTAGTGTGTACACAAAGCAATAATATTGCTATGAAAATGTGTGACATCTTTTTATAGTTATACCAACATGGCGGTGAACAAAGAAAATAGTAGACCATCACTTGTTATGATATGCCTTAAATATTGATATGAATTAGAACGCACTAAAACTAATTGTATAATGAACAGTATATTTCCTGAATCCTATTGTTTGAATCAGGTAGAGATTGACAAAAAAACCCCGCCTTGACATGAATTCCCAACGTTAAATAAACTGTTAAAATTTTGAATATTGCCTCGTAAAATAGGCAACTGTTCTATATATAAAAAAAAAAGCTACAGCAAGCTTGTAAGCATCATCCGAACTATTAACATTAAGACGGAAAAGTAAAAAAAAATGTTTTGAGAGTAAATCTAATGTGGGCTATATGTAGGTCTGTGGTATTTAATTTTCGTCATTCCAGTGTTTTTGCTTCTTTGTGTGTTAAATTATGTCAGTCGTTTTCATCTTGAATGACGTCATTTCGTCGATTAGAACTCTAAATTCGATTCATATTGCATTTTGTAGGATCTTCTTTCTTATAATACGTTGCTAGCCTCAGAGTTGCATTACGAAGAACAGAATGAACAATTCGTAAGTGATAAAATGGTCTTCAAATTTTACGGTGAAGCCAATTAGAATATACTGGTATACAAGGTCAGATTATATTTTTAAAAACAATAAGCTTACTCGCATCAGCATCATCAGGAAGACTTGAAAATATAAATTAAAACTTTCACAAAACAATCAAGAGAGGTCGCCTTCTTTTAGGTAAAACGATCTATCTTAACTTTCTATTTGAGCTGGGATTATTACGTGGTCAATTAACTTAGAAGGTAAAGGAGGACAACACAAGTTCTCATCCTCAAAATTTTCTTTTAATTTAGGGCTTATGTTATATATGGCCTGAAATAACTGAATATAAGCATTTTTATTATGGCTTTATTTATTACAAACATATTCTTTCACCATCATTACACATTGAGGCCATTCTTTTAGGTAAAACGATCTATCTTAAATTTCTTGAGTTTTGGACTATTATGTGTTTAAATACCGTAACTTAGAAGAAGAATAACCCTAAAAAACCCTTAAAAAATTTTGTGATTTTAATTCTAATTTCGTCGGAATTTATCAGAACTCCCTAAAATGTGCAATTTTTTTTAGAGGAAATTGGTATAATTTAACAAGAAATGCGCGTGAAGCTCGCGAAATTTGAGATTTTTAGGCACTTTCAGGGGGTGAAAAGGGCATCTTCAAGGGGTAGGGAAAGATTTTCCACAGATGAATATTTCCCCTTGTCCCCTGGTGGTTACGCCACTGCGGAGAATATCTGGCGGCCTAGATCAAAGGAGCTATGGACACTTTTTGAAGTGGAGAAGGGGTTGCAGGGTGTTATGAGTCTGGTCATTATGATAGCTTCCTTTTTATTCTTGTCTTTATTTTTCTCTTCTCTTTTTCTTTTCCTTTTTCCTTTCCTTTTCTTTTCCCCTTCTTTCTCTTTCTTTCCCTCCCTCTCCCCTCTTTCTTTTCTCTTATTACCCAGCCCGGTACGACGGCTTTGTCAGCTCGGTAAAAACCTTTGGGAGGGGGAAGTCTGCCCCCTTCCCCCGCCTGTTACGCCACTGTCATAATATTATAGTATAGTTAATAAAGCTTAGTAAATTATAGTTAGGCCAAGTTGTCCTGGATATTAAGTAGATCCCCGATAAAAAGTACATGAGAAATTTGTTGGCGTTTCATTTTCACTACATATATAATGGTGATGATGATGATGAATTTTACTATGTAAAATCTCAGCCCCAACCATGGTGAGGCTGAGGTGGTTGTGAAGTCACGTTTTCGAAGTATGTAAAGTACATAGGCCTACTCAAAGACAATGTTTTTTAGCTTTAATAAGATCTCTATGGTTGTTGAAATCCCTGATAAGAGACCATGAAAATTTTTTTTGACGCTTCATTTGGACTATGGTGATGTGATGATAATGAATTTTACTTAAAGTTTCGTTTCTGGCCATCTAGAAATACTATTTCCTCAAATTTTCGCACCCCAGTTCCAACCATGATGAGTCTGAGGTGGGTGTCGACTCACAAAATGTCCTCCCCCTCCACCTTTCAAAACAGATCTCCGCCCTTCCTTGGGTATGACAACTGCATCAAATCGGCACCTGACACAAGGTATGTCTTGTGACTGATGAGAGGGGTGCATACTGTAAATTTGTTTTTAAGATGTGATCTGGGTTTTCATGCCCAATTTTCGTGATTATGACTATTTTGGTTAAGAAAAAAAAGGAAAATATATACAAATTTAATTATGAGAGTGTAATTTCCGGCCATCTAGAGGTGCCCTAATCATAAATTTTCTTACCTCAGCCCCAACCATGGTGTGGCTGAGGTGGGTGGTAGTTCAGTCTGTGAAAGTCCCTCCCTGGGTCACCTCTCTTTCGAATTCCTGGATCCGCCACTGTTGATTTATTATAACTATTGTGCGCCTATTAATATTATTTATGATGCGTCCCTGGCTACGTCCCTGGATACAACTTGCCCGTGGTTAGATAGATACATTGTGACTCTTGTCATTACCCATCTAATATCATGTTGACAAACGAATAAAATCACAAAAAAAAAATCATAAGGGCTTCGCCTTTGGGGGGGTGGGGGGGGGGGGGGGGGGGGGGGGGGGGGGGGAAACAGGATTGCAGCCCAGCCTGAAACCCCTCTGACGGTGGTTGACAGTGTTAGAAGACAGTCGATCGAAACATAATTATAACATAGTGCATCGTCATTTTGACAGACTTTCGGAAAAGTACGGTAGTAGTCAGCAAACTGATTTTCTGCAAACTGGATGTTACGGTATTAGACATTCGGCAAACTGGGTTTTCGGTAGATTGGAGTTAGAAATTTGGCATTCGGCAAACTGTCATTCAGTAAATTGGAGGATACCAGATTGGGTCAATCACCAATTTTCTGATCATAATCGTGTCTTTCAACTGCTAAAAATTTACTGGATTCACCTGCTCATCCCGTTTAATCTATTCCTGAATGCTCTTGCTCATTATCATGTAACTCACAATCATGGTGACATTCAATCTACCTGATTCAGTTGCTCACATTCACTTGGCTCGCTTGCTCAATCTACCTGGTTCAGTTGCTCACATTTACTTGGTACACTCAACCCGGTTCATTTGCTCACATTCACTTGGTACACTCAATTGACCTAGTTTAGTTGCTCACGATTCACTTGCCTTGCTCAATCTACTTGGTTCAGTTGCTCATATTCACTTGGCTCGCTTGCTCAATCTACCTGATTCAGTTGCTCACATTCACTTGGCTCGTTCAATCTACCTCATTTCGTTGCTCACAATTCACTTGCAGTGGCGGATCCAGCGGGGGGAGGGGGAAATATGAGGGCCCGTGCCCATGTCAAGCCAAAAAATAAAAAGAGCGAGAAAAATTTGAGTTAAAAAGAGGAAAAAGGAAAAAAGGAGTGTACCCAGAAGTTCAGTGGCGATCCAGCATTGGGGTGAAAGGAGAGCTTGATTATTTGCCACTTATTTACACCAACCACTGTGGGGCTGAGGTAGGCGTGGCGGCGAGAACATCATATGTGCCCCCGCCCCCGTCAGAAATTCTCTGGATCCGCCCCTGAGTTGGTACACTCAACCTATCTGGTTCAGTTATTCACAATTTACTTGGCATACCCAGAATATACCTGGTCCAGGCTTGGCTTACTCAATCTACCTGTATCTACCACTTACCAGGTTCACACCCCTCCCCCCCCCCACCCGTCCACACACACAGACAGTATTTATGTGCAGCCTCTATCATTTGCTGACACATGTGCACAACTGATTCTTGAGTCAGTAACTGAGTCTCATCAAATGTTCATATTCCAAAGAGAGGATACATTGCCTTAGTCATCCAGTTTCTATTCTACACTTCCACTCCCTGGTACTCACTGCCTGCATGCCTTTCCCCTTTAACGCAATATAAATTTGTTCCTCTTCATTAATATTTACCTTGATTCAATTCAATTTTCAATTTGTGTCATTTGTAACCTATACCTTGTAGTGCTATTAGCCATCGTGGCTGGCGGAACCGGTGGGGGGGGGGGGCGGAGGTCCGGGCCCTCCCACTTTTTTGCACAAAATATGTCTGGAGATTTTTGTATGATCGGAAAGAAATGCAAGAAAGGAAAGAGGGAAGAAAGAAAGAGGAGAAGGATAGGAAAGAGAATGTTTATCCAGTCCCCGACCGAGTTACATTTTCTCGCAATTCACATTGGCGGATCTGGGGGAGGGGGTCATGGATCCTTACCCCTACCTTGGGCAACAAAAAAAAGGGGGAAAAAAGAATTTTAGACCTACCTTTTCAGGACCCGTGAGCTGATTTTTATTTATTTTTGTTACAATAAGAAAATTAGAATTTAAGAACATAAAAGTCATTAAAACACACTTCAAATGTCGGGAAAGCACATTTCCCGCCATTTAGGAATCAAAATTTTCCAGTGGGAGAACCCCCGGACCCCCCTTTCTTTTTGCGATTTATCGCTTTATGGTAAAATAATAACCGAAAGGTCCACTGATTAATCTCAGATAAGATAGTATAATACATACTCCAAGTATCGAAATACACGCCATCTTGTCGGGATTCAATATTTCGACATTAATTACCGGTATGTCATCATCAGGAATGATGAAAAATAATATGTATGCAACTACTCAATTTTTGGTTATGTATGTATACACACATAAGGCCTATTTACTGTAAAAACAATGGGGAAAATTTACCTGGCCGTTTTAAGAGGGGAAAACCTTGTATTTTGAAGAACTTAAAATTAAAGTCATTAAAAGACACTTCAGAAGTCGGGAAAGCTCATTTTCCACCATTTAGAAATCAACATTTTCCCTGGGAGGAACCCGAACCTCCCTTTCTCTTTGGGTTCATTGATTCATATCAAGAGGGGAAAACCTTGAATTTTGAAGAACTTAAAAGTAATTAAAAGACAACTTAGAAGACAGAAAGCTCATTTTTCGCCTTCTAGGAATCAAAATTTTCTCGGGGGAGAACCCCGGGACCCCCTTTCTTTTTGGGATTTAACGATTAATTGAAAAAAAATATGTAACCAACTACTCTTTTTTATTTTAACAGGCCTATTTACTGTAATAAGAATGAGAAAGTTTACCAGACCGTTTTCAAGAGGGAGAAAACCTTGAATTTTGAAGAACAACACCTACCTCAAAAGTCGAGAAAGGTCATTTCCCACCATCTAGAAATCAAAAATTTCCTGTGATGGGAGGGGGGACCCGGATCCCCTTTCGTGTTTGGGAAAATGTTGACCCACACCCCCTAGATTTGATTCCAGATCTGCATGATTCTATTTTCCATTCATCTTATAAGGTGGGGGGATCCCCCACTTTAAAAAACGCTCCTCCGGCCCTGGCCATTTGCTGGGAGATTCCCATAAAAAGTACTTGTATTCAAATTAATTAATAATCTTCATGCTTTTAAACCAACACATGTAAATTAACTGACGTGTAAACTGATATGTGTGATCTGATATTTTTAATAAATCTTGTAGTAATACTTAACACATAGTACATTCTGTAATATCAAATAATAGAATACAAATAAGACACATGGTTGAAAGAAAATTAATTTTGCAAATGGCTGCAATGATTATATAATATATATTTCATTATATATCTACATAATATGCACATAATTATATTATATCATATTAACTGCTGTAAATATATAAATGATAAAATATAATTATACACAAACTCATAGGCCTATATATATAATATAAAATCAGGGGAAGATGGGAGTAAGTAGTAGTATTACTTGTACCAATTTGGAACCCAGCAACTACTGTAATACGTTTATTCCTATATAAGTCCAAAATACAGAGATCTATTCAAAACTGCTAATAAAAAACTAAAACTATAATTGAAAAATGTCACTCATACAGGTACTCCCTTTATACTTAGAATTTGGTGAGGTACCAGGAACGGGTGTTATTTTGTAAATTATTATGTTTCCAAAATGCTTGATTAACATCATGTAATGTAATACATGTAATGTAATATTGATAGCCTTTTGATTAGGAATCAACAAATCTTCTGACAATAAGAATAATTAACAGTTGTATGCACCATATACAGTATCTGTCTCTTATACACATCTAGATGTGTATAAGAGACAGGGTAAAGAATGGGTTGAAATATAGTATACTTTTTGATAATTCATACTTTTCAAAATATAATTTTTCCGACACTTTTTTCCTTGCTAAATTTAGTCTAAATGAAAGAATTATTTGTGGTACAAATGAAATTGAAACTTGAGTTGTTTTCTATACACTGGTTATTATATTGTAAACATTGTGAAATAGCTAAGCTAAATACATATAAAATTGCACAGTGTTGTATTAATATTTTAACATAAAGGAAAGCAAAAAAATAAAATTTGCAACTAGACTTCTAAAAATAAATATTTTATATGTATACAAGAAACAAAATTGAAAAGTGAGTCAGCTTTACATTGTTATTGATGGTATGGTACAGTACATAAACGTTGGTTCATACTGTTATAAAAGTAATGTAAACAACGAATCGGATGTGCTCTTTATGAGCGCTTATGTGTAAAATTGTTGCATGAATTTTGGTATCAGCCTGAGCAGATCATCTTTAAAACAATCCGCTGGGCGACAACTCGATGTGCGCCTCGCAGTCTTCATGGAATTGCGTCAACAACCATTTGCAGCAGTGACTGAGCCTGCCTTAACACACATTGTGTGTGTGTTCATTGACCATACTGTCACAAGAATGACTAATACATTACTTTGTAGACAACAAAATAAAATATCTCAGGGTTACCAATCAGGCCATCTGCTGTCTACTTTCAATGACAATTAACAAAATTTCCAGAACATGCAATTTCAGAATACAGAGTGAACAAATAACATATTGAAGAGTAATTAAAGATATCAACTATGTCATTATATCATTAGTATAGAAAATAATTATTAATTCCTGAAAATGTTCAAACAAATTAACAAAATATGGTTTCTTGTTACTTTTTGATGTTCCTAATAAATCATTGAACCATACCTTAAAATATATTCATATAACTATTGTGGCAACATGAAATTCTTTGGATTTGACCACAACTTTAATGAATTTGTTGATAATTTCAGCAGCTTTTGTCAACAATTTGGCACATGTTTTATTATAAGATTTTAAAACATAACTAGATGGATACTATGCTATTATCTACAGAAAATGCTATGTGTAGTAGGACCCTTCAACAATCAGTCTAGCTGGAAGGGCCACCCACTAAAAATACGTTTTAAATACGTGATAAATTTAAAGTGGTATATTCACACATTTATAGTTGTCTTGTTTTATTTATTTCTCAATCATAAGCAAATATCAGTGGCTGATCCATAAATTTGAAATAGAGGGAGGCCCAGAGAGGGACTTTCACAGATGGAGGGGATATACTACCTCATGGTTGGTGCTGAGTAAAAACATTTATGATTATGGCACCTCTAGATGGCCAGAAATGGCCCCTTTCCCACCTAGGTGTATCTCACCTAATAGTCGCACGATTTCTACAATTTAATAACTCTTGAAACTTGTGATCTTTAGAAAGGACCTATACGATCTTATGGACTAGGTTACGAGTTATGTATGAATTATGCCGAGCAGAGCACTGAGTTAACTAAGAGATTATTATGAGCATAACAATTTGTACCGAATTAGATACGAGTTAGGTACAAGCCAACTCAGTGCGCTCATACTTACTCGTAATCGTTTCGGAATGCTCGCATCAAACTCGTAGATGACAAATCCGCCGACGAGTATACAGAGTACTGTAATAAATATACTATAATACTATAATAATAATACTAATAATAATAATACTATAATTATAATTATAATATTATTATAATAATAATAATACTATAGTACTGCAGTGTACGAGCTAGGTAGGAGTTTACTATGAGTTAGTGGCACTAATTTTGAACATGTTCAAAATTAGCACCACAAGTTCAGAGCTGCTACGAGCTTTCCGAATCGTCCTACAAGTTTTTTCTGAGTTTGCCGAGTTAGGCAAACTCTTGTAACTCCTATACTGGGAGACGGACTTTAGACTCAAAATTTTAGAAGAATTTCCTTTTTTTCTAATTTTTTTTATTGGAAAAAATTTAGGGGGGGGGCCCCCAGGGCCGGCTGGCCCCCTACCCCTTGAATCTGCCACTGAATATTCTTACCAATTACAGGATGGAACCCTGTGATGCTCTATTGACTAAATTAACTGACCACTAAAAAAAAAAGTCCTATACACTTAGGGCTTTAATTTAGTCTTATTGGAGAATAAAGTTATTTTTAGTGGAAAGAAAATAAAACATTTATATGATGTGACAGAGAGCCTGTGATTGGACGGTGAACACCTTATCAACAGCTACAACTCAACAAAACTTTATCCTCTAATATCCAAAATCTTTTCTGTGTTTTATAAAAATTAATAGCATACTTTTCATGAACTTTTTATCGTAATATGACAATAAGAATAATTAACAGTTGTATGCACCATATACAGTATATACAATTGATGGAGCTGACGAAGACTGCTGATGATAATAGGACTCACTTAAGTGATACCCATGACTGTGTTGTATTTATTTTTTTTTTCACTAGTACAATACAGTAGATAGTACAAACAAACAGTCGCAAGCATGCCCAGAGGCAAATGAGTCTGTTATAACAGATGACAAGATGAAGACCTGTTTACATTTCAACATACACAAAAGGATATATACGTGACTCACAAAAATGAAAATGTGATGTACACATGATTGTGTGTCATTAATTTGCCATAGAATAGAAGAGGGCCGATATTAATTATGATGTCAAATCATGGGAGAGACAATAAATGAATACAACTCGCTTTCATTTAAATGTAAAGTGCCTACGGAATTCATCCACAAAGCGCTACATAAATGTTTTATCATTATTATTCTTACTATAATTCTTCATGTTATAATCATTTCATACCAAGCTCATGTATAAACAAAGCTCCACAATAGCCTATAACACATCAGTTTCCATTCTGTGATTGGTTAGTTGCTAGCGACTCAACGCAAATGAATGGAAAAAGCATATTTGTAAACCATGTTATACCTACATTTTTGTTACTAAACCGTCACAAAATATTGTTGAAAATATAATAAACAAAAATGTCAGTACACTTACCAAATTTAATGTCCTAGTATTAATTTATATATTTTAACCATATAAAGCAATAAAAAATATATTACAAAACTACATATGGATAAACAGCATAGGCCTTTATGGCAAAGCATTGATTGTGAAAACTGTACATCGAAATATAACGCACTGTTTAACATTTTAAGAGATGCATATCAGTTATAATGAACATATTTTTCATTGTTTGTAATCTAACAATTAATTAAAATGTTTGGTGTCTACAGTTATTTATAGGATAGTTAATTAACCATAACTCATTGAACAAATTTCTCACATCGCAAAAGAAATGTTCTCCCTTTGTTAAAAAGAGAGATGAATTTTACTATAGGGGAAAATTTTGGATCACCGATTTCACCCTAAGGGAATTAATTATTTCGAGGGAACAAATTGTTGCCTAGAATAGCTAACTGTGCCATACGACAACAAAGAGAAGAAAAAAACAAGAGGAAATGATTAAATTAATGCAGGCAAATACCGAAAACAATTAAATTTTATAATTATTTCTTTGAAAATTATTCAAATGTGAAATGAGAACAGAACAATATCCCCTCATACTTGATCAATACCCTACAGATAAAAAAAAACACTGTAAAAATGTAACTGAAGTCTAGTAATGTAATCTGTACTTCATGGTAAAAACAAAAAACCAATGTGATTAGATATGACATCTAATCTTCCATCTCACAGATATCAACTTTCCTCTCATAAACTCATGTCAAGCATTAGAAAAAGAAAGAGGAACTAGAATAAAACAAACATGCAGTGGGATAGTGATCTATCGTTGGTGATCCATCTGGAAGTGAAAGTCATTTGATTTTTCTAGCACCATTCTATATTGCAAGGAAAATACAAACAATAAGTTTGACATTTCAGTAGATGGCTGTTTTAGGTGGGAAAGACAGCAAAAGTTGAATGAGCCACCAATAAATTTTATAATCCCATTTCCTGTTGACATAAGCATGTAACATATGACTATAAAACAATGTTTATTGGTTTTATAATAACAACAATTATAATATTAATTGCATATTTTTGATTATCAGCAAAAAGTGAATCACTACTTGAATACCATAGCATCCATATATACATTAGGTTGACCTCTGCACTTGGATATTATAAAGACTTGTTGCCTTACTTCCAGGTATGTTACTTAATATTAAGTAGAGCAAGAAATAATAAGAAATGGGTTTACCAAAATTATTACAGAAGCATTAGCAAAAATTGAACATGATGGTAAATTCCAGCATGGTCAGAGAAGCAAAGAAAATATGGATTACTCTGGGATTTGAAGCAGTGACATTTGGAACACCACAGTAACTTCTTAGGGGGCCTAGGAAGAGCCTTATGATGAGGAAAAAAACTGAAACAAAGAGATAATATAGTGTACTAAGCACAACCATTCAACAGTGTACCTCAGTTTCCAATGTGAAAAGGGAGTTTGGAATGTCACTGGTTCACCAGAATCCATATTTTTATTTTTTTCACTGAATTCACTGTTCATATGACTTTCCTATCACAAAAAGCCATACATTTGTTTCCATCAAATATCATTTCCATACAAAATGAATTTAATGCTGAAAATAAACCATATTATGTACAGTACGTACCTTTAAAAAATGTATAGTATTTTCAACAATTTCTATACACATTTATATATTTTCTTTACACTTTCATTTCCAAACTCAAATAAGCACCATTTAAAAGAAAAATGTAAAAGAACTGAGAACATATACATTCTCAGATAAATGAGTTTTGGATTGTTATAGCGACTTATTCCTGTTGATGTTTTGTTGTCGTATATTAAAGCAAAACCGTACGTTATTTTATAGAACTTCATGTCAAAGACAGCAGAAATGAAACTGGCATACTGGAATTCGTAAGTCATTATATACGAAGAAAATGCATAACTTTAGATGACATAACAATTAACCACGTTGCTACCGCCAGTCATATTTTACTTCATACTTTTCAATGTCTGCAAGCCATTGTGATTCATAAGATGTATTACTGAATACATTGATGGTTTTGAGAAGTGAAACTGCAGGGACTTACTCACTGTCTGTTGATTATTGCTTGCTGATACTCGTTGGATACAAAATATCTTTTTGAAACATAAGCCTACTGAAACTACACTATAATAGTATAATAAACACAAATTCCCTATATATTAAATGTATCTAGTATATGTTCATCCATACAAAACAATGATAGAAGTACTCTCTGTTAGGTTTATTACTTCAGGTTTTTACATATTGGTCTCTAAGTTCTAGTTAAGTGTGCGAATGGAATGGAGTACAAATCATTCTCCAAATGGAAGCATCAAATAAAGGCAAACATTGTCAACAATAACATATCTTTCCTTTGTATGGTTGTTGCTGCCGTCATTCCTGCGTATTTTACGACTTTTTCTACTGATGTCAGGATTGCGATTGTTCTTCGTAGGTTAACGTGGAAGCATCTTGGATAATTTTAAATCCCTTCCTCTTCCAACAATTTATTAAATCCTTTTACAATCTGGTTTAAGTGAATTCGGCATTTAGTGTCGGACTCAAACACTGTTTCTAAAAATTCTCCGTCGGCAAAGAAGTTGAAGACATGATCGATTCGATTCAATGATTTCTCAGTTAGATGACGCTTGACTAATCTCCTAAGTTTATCTCGGCATTCGTTGAGCGATTTCATGAGATAGTTTTTATCAAAACTGAAGTCCACCTCATAGAAGCTGACAAAAGTCATGATCGTCGAACGAAATTTTTTGCGAAACTCCTCGGCAATCAGCAGTTCATCCTGATTAAATTGATCGTGTTTGTACAACACGCCAATTTTAACAGTAACCTTAATGATGTTTTTGATAACTTTCTCGGCCTCTTTCTTGCTGCCACCCTTTATGGTCACAATATAATCCTTACAGAGTTGATAGCCGGCATCCAGCAATTCACCCATTGTGTCATCTATAAATGCCTTCGCAATCTTCTTTGTAGCCATTTTGCTTAGAACCTTCTTTTGAGCTCTGAGCCCGATTCCTCTGGAATTAAATCCAGAATCCGCCACTAGAAAATAAAAACAAAACACAATTATTAGTTTTATACAAAAATTATACCTTTATTATACAATCAATAATTTTCTGTTTCAAGGTAAATATCATGGAAAGTCATAAAAATATACTGTAACTACAATACTAATACCTGCAGGCTATAATGTATTAACATTCATCTCAATATAAACTTTGTTAATAATAAGAACAGGTCAAGTATTTGTTGTAAAAGTACAAGTAAATTGCAAAATTAAAGCAAAAATACTTAATGTCATCATAACTCTATAAAAAAACATAAATATGAATTATTTTAAGATTAAACAATAAAAGCCTGAACTTTGATCTATATCCTCTTTAATCGTCATCTGTAAATAAGATGCAATTCACACCACTTGAAACGTGATGGTTGCACAGATGTTTGTTGATCAGGACTGTTAATAATTGCTTTGATGCATATTGCTAAACTAGCACATGCATTCCAAACACCTTAATGGAGTTATATATACAAGATGGATTTCTCAAATACAATACAGTATGCCTTCAGAAAATAATTTATCATGTTGACAGATGGGAATGACTTCCATTTCAAATGCAGATGTTTTCTAATTTTAGAAATATAATACATTTTATATAACTATTACATTACATATATTTTCTGAATAAGTGTTGAGGGTATCAAAGATAACACAGCCTTCAACACATTACATCATATAGTACTAATAATAATACAAAGGACACATACACAACACATTCAATGTTATAAAACTCACAGAAATACAAAGAGAATCCACACAAACTCCACCCAGAATATGCACTCAAAAATACATCCACATACAAAACACTATAAACAATATCACTCACAACATAAAATATATATGGCACATAGAAACATACATGGCTACATTCATTAATGTATAAACAATAAATGATTGTTATCATGTTATTGAAACATAATTATCTCTTTGTTGTTTTTCATAATAATTTTGTAGTGTTTTTGTACAGTATAATATTACTCGTTCTCATGAATAATTTTAATATAAAAAAACCTAATGCATTATGTGTAAATCGAGGACAAATTTTGTTTCTGAATAAGAATAAAATAAAAATACACATATAGCGTAGTTATGTAATCTTGAAGAGATGCATCCTAGCTACCTCCTTCAACAATGGTTGACATTTCCATATGAATTTCTTGAAGACACATTGACTTCATGTTTCATAAATTTCTTTTGTTCTGTAATCCCACAAGGTTTGGTGGTGATTATTACTTTTTCTGATGACCTCGAAAACATCTTTTTATTCTTGTGTCCATAAATTTTAACCGAGAGAGATTAGATGGGATATATTTTTACCACTAAAGGCTATAATTTATTTTTTGATGCATACTTTAAATTGTTCATAATATATTTAGCGCTACAAAGGTAAATCAAGGTAAATGAATTTATCAATACAGGAGAAAAGCACTCCAGTTATTTTTGAAATTGAAATTATTCAATGATGGCGGTCCGAGTCCCATGATTACACATCATATATATAGTGAGCCCACATTATAAATTCTGAGATAAAAGAAGCATCTTAATACTTTGATTAGATATGATTTTGTATGTATAATGTACAATATAATATCATTCTGTAAAATAATGAAAGGTAATATAGTACCCTGAATAATGCAAGCTAAAATTATCCAAAAGTCCAAAGACTGGAAGAGTTTATGATCATAACTATAAATGAATAAATATTAATAAATAATATTATAATACAATTGAAATAATAATATAATAAATAAATAATCATAATATAATCATGGCAGTATAAAATGATACAATATATACTATACATGCTTGTTATAGCACCCTAGAAACACATTTCAGGGTTATATTTATTTTATTATATTTTTCTTTTGAAAATATAAAATAAGAAGAAAACAATGAAATCCAATTCTAACCAAACCAAGCATCAACACATTATAACTTAGAGATGATGTGGGCATACTGTACATAAATAAATGAGAATACAAAAAAAAAAGAGACAAATAATTTCTACACACAATTACTGCAAAAAAAATCAATCCATCAAATAACATAGACACCATTTCCAATGCAATATAGTAAATCTATTAACATATGAACAATAGCCTCTTTTTTCATATTTTAAGATGCTTGTTACATTTATTATATGATTGATTGATTCCATATGTGATAAGTGTTACTAACCAAGGTACCAAGTTATTGTAAAAGCTTACTTCTTAAAATATGAATAACAGCTTATTTAAATTACATCCTGAAATACAAAACAATTCCTCATTTTGGTGGAATTTGTACCTGAATTGTCAATGTGAAAGTTCATACAGCGAACACAAGGTTGTATCAATTAAGATATAAATAAAATGTTCCTTGTCCTTGTTCCTATTTCATTTTGATACTAATATTGTGGGATAATACACTTGCAGGATATACAGGTTATGTAATTAGTGAATGAGTGGGCTGGAAAGATGAAAATTGCAAGCGAAGAGATAAACTGTGCTTAAAAGCAAGGAGGAAGCTCATAGCATCTTTCAGGGTAGTGTGAATTCAAGGACTCACAAGATTCAATATACAAAATCATATTTCAAGGAAGAGATGGATTCACCTATGATGACCTGAAGGAAAAACATAAAGTTGACCATTGGTTGGGCTATACCAATAACAGATACCAATACATATTCAAAGATGTGCTTTCACCTTAATTTTATCCACCAGATTGAAATTAAACCTCCTAGAAACATCCTTTCCATTGTTCTGCCATTTTTATTTTAAATAGTCCTGATTACTAAGTACCAGTAGTTTATAATTGTTCATTTTTAATTGAATCACAGCTTTTGAAGGCTCACAATGCAAATAATAACTTGAATTAAAGCAAATTGGTGGATTAATTGTTACAGAGTTTCTAATAAAGCCTATAATATAAAAAGACTATAAAAACAATTTTACCAAAATTAATCTAGCGTGGAAAGTCTGCCAATGGGATTTTCCTGGGGAGGGTGGGGAGGATACATACATACATACATATCGTATCCACCACACCCCCGTTTGTATTCAGCTGTGCTGTAAAATATAACCATTCTGTGTGCAAGTAATTGAAATTTGGAAACATACGCAACAACTAGAAAAAGGTTTAGAGATGATGTAACCATTGTGCTACAAATTGAGATTTTGATGAGGCCATCTTTCAGTCACAATCAAGAAGTGCGCAGTCATTTATTTTCATTTACTTGATGTAAGCCTAATATTATGAACATTCAGTACATTCAAATCTGCTCCATGCTTATAATTTCTATATCTTCATGGTTTAATTGATTTTTTGATTTTCTGTCTACAAATGAAATCTAATAGAATCATACTAATGTACCTTTACATGTTGACAACAAGGAGCCAGTCAAAAACAGTAATAAATAATTTCAGTATGTTATAATAATAATACAGTATACATGCAACTAGCAACCTTAACACATGGTAACGTATCATTTGCACTCTAAGGTCGCCTTAACCATTGGAGAAAACCGGATTTTTTTCACAAAAGTACATTTTTGGTACAAAATCTATGATTTTCTTGTAATGGCCCAAGAGGATTATGTTGTAAAAAATATTGATCTACCAATTCGTGAAGAAAAAATGAAAAAAAATCCCTACAGGTTTGTCGATTTAGATAGGGAATTTCAAGAAATTTTAGGTTTTTGGCTGTTCCGAGCTTGTTTCTTACTCCCTCACTCACAGACTATTTCTTTGTTCTATTGGCCCAAGTGGATTTGTGGAGGGAATATAATAAGTTTGAAGCTGATATAATACTTAGTATGATTGTTTGGGTAGTTTTATCGGAAATTAAGAAAATATAAAATCCATCCAATCCACGATTGCCTCTCATGGGGGTCAAAAAATCTCTCAAGCGTGATAGTCCGATTCACTGGTATGACGTCATACTTCCATTTGTTCGCAGTGTTTGACTTCTTTCTTCATGTAATTTGGCCTAATTTAGTTATAAGTTGGTTTTTTTGTGTGCTTTTATTACCTTTATTAAAAAACAAATGTCCCAAGACAAGATACTTGTAGCAATTAGGCTATATTTCTGCAAAAAAAGTGCAATTTATAGTCTGGACCATTTGAAAATTTCTATAGGGATGTAGTGTAGGGCTAAGCCAATCCCGCCAACACGAAAGCGTGGACTAGAGGAAGAGATATCTGAACATTTGTTCACTTTACATTGTACTATGTGTACTGTTAAATGTGTTCAAATACAAGTTTTAACAAAAGAATATTGACTGTGCAAATTTAATTTTGTTAGTATTTAACCCCATAATGAAAATGAAACAAACGCAATGTTTTTAATTGGTCGATCCAAACTACTTGTACAGCGAGGTTGGTTTGACCTCAGTTTGCTGTTTTTGTGATAGCTGGACTAGCAAATGATAAAAAGTGGCAAAAACATTTCAATATGCATGTTGAGGCTAAAAAAGTTGCCAGAAGGAGTTGTGCTGGATGAAATTTAAGGAAACATATGTTGCAATGTGGACAGCTAAACGGCTATGAGTATTGACACAGGGAGATGATTGGGAGAATAGATCAAGGAATAAGTGAGAGAGAGAGAGAGAGAGAGAGAGCTATCTGCAAAAATAGGTGATTTTTAACAATAGTGTAATTGCTTTGCTCAGACAATTTTCAGTGAGGTGCAAAGGGAGTGCGAAGACTTCTGCGCTCCCTGTATATGTCATTGAAACAAGGAGACTCATACTACAACTTCATCTTCAAACCTCTACAAGTGTACAGTAAAAATGGTGTCTCATTGCTAAATTTCCACTAGGTTTATAGATGGATGGATTTACTTGGTGTAAACTCCAAGAAAACCCCATAAAACACTTATTTCCAGTGGGTCCTTCTGGTGGTGATTGGGCAGAAAACCGGGAGACAATCATCTACTCTTTTCCCAAGCTGTAAGCAACTCTTACAGTACAGTAACTTGTTCAATCAAAGAAGACTACTTGTC